CAGGACACTTTGTATATGAGTAGTGCTGGATGAGTCTTGGCCATTGCCTTCACAAGGATGCCTTCTGCACTGGTTAGGTAAAATAAATCTGTATTTGTTAGGTTCCATTCAGATGTTCTATACCATATGAGAATTTTGAAATGTAAGTAACTAAGTTACTCTGGGTACTATTCCCAAAGTCGGAAAACTAGTTCAGTCTTCTCTCTCCCTCCTCCTGGACCTGCTGAAAGTCATCTCAGTGTCTTTGCCTCTGTATGCATAGACATGTCAAGATAATGCTCGTAATTTGTCCTGACTGCATGATACATCAAGATACCCAACAACTGAAAGACTATTTGATAATTGTGTGAACATTTAGATGTGTGTTCCTGACAGGAGTAACCATTTGAATTCTTTGTAAACACAGGCTTTTATTCTCTAATTTCCTTTTGTTGCCCTTTTACCAGTAGGCTATAGATCTAGCTCTAGAGAAAGTAAATCTACAACGCTAACTGTGCCAGAACAGCAAAGAACAACACATCATCGTTCGCGATCTGTATCTCCTCACCGTGGCGACGATCAGGGCAGGACCCGTTCACGTTTACCAAATGTGCCATTACAGAGGTAAGCGTCATGAAACACTGAGTGCTGAAGTTTGAAGTTTGTAGAATATGTCACTCGTTCCTGTGAAGTTTTTCGACTTTTTCTCATGTTCAGGAATTATCTGTTTTTTCGTTATGTTTACTTCTCTTTTGGAGGAGGGCGGGGGCAGGAGGTTCTGTCTTAATTTAATAGTGTAGAATTTGAACCTGAGCATGCTCTCTTTAATGACTCAAGAGCACCTATGAAACAAATTCTTAAACATAACCTTGTATAGCTTTTCTTACTGATATTTTCCCTGTGATTCATCATCTTTGTTTGTTGTACCATGATGAAAATATAGCTTCAGAAATACTTTTTGTCAGTGGCTAAATCTTCTGTGAAGGCACTTGAGTATTTTCGTATATCAGTAGCAGTTACACTTTTCTGTAATGCATCCTCAATACATAGAGGGCTATGGCAGTTACTCCTCTTATAGTTGAAAAAAGAGACAGTTCATCTTTCTCCCAGAAAGAGCATATTGCTGTTTGCAAAAGAAAAAAATCTATATCTTTCTCTCTGTAAGCACAACACAAAAATATTTGATAAAGAGCTCCACCATCCCTTTGATCAATACGCTGTAAAACAAGTGCCTTTTGCTCCCGTGCCATTTACTAAACTGAAGGAAGAATCCTCTTTTCAGGAAATGAGCAGTTTCTTCTCTTGTTTTTTCCTTATGGTGAGAGCTTTAGAATCCTGTCATGGAGATCAGAGGCTTCCTAAGGTTGTCAAGAGTTTTTCCTCTTCCCTATGACACTTGCTAAATGAAAAATAAAATTTTCATTTAATTTTGAGTGGAGTTCTTAAGGTTTCTCAGTTACTCTTAAGTACAGGGATTAAAAAGACTTTTGCTGAGTCCATCAGTGTACATAGCAATACACATTTCTCATAAAGGTAGAAGTGGTTGCTCTCTATACTTTAAGAGGACTTTTTTTTTCCCCTTCAGGAACCAGTATTTTAAACAGAAATTTTATATTAATGGTTTACTGATTAAAGACTTCCTGCAACTGACTTGTACAGTAGCCCACTAAGGTGTATTTTTTATGGGGCAAATGAAACTTTTTACATATGTCTGCCTTTCAGGAGTTTAGATGAAATTCATCAAATGAGAAGATCACGCTCTCCAACTAGACACCATGATGCCTCCAGAAGTCCAGTTGATTACAGATCCAGAGACATGGATAGTCAGTATTTGTCAGATCAAGAAAGGTACATTGTCAGCCTGAACTTGGAAACAAGTTTAGAAGTGTGTATGCCTCTTTGCCTAACTTTCAAGTATTCAGTAGAAGAACACAGTCTGATAATAATGGGAAATGAGAGAGAAATCATCCCAATGGTCCAAACTAATCAGGATGAAATTATCTCTGTCTCCTTTGTGGTAAAAATGTGCACTAGGCTGGCAGTAATAGCAGGGTGTCTAGAGTAATGGTTCTTGAGCGCTTGTCCCTGACTGTATTCCGTTGTTTGTTTCATGAAAGCAAGCCCAGAGGTTTTTGCTAGAAACCCATTACTCTACGTATATGCCATAGTTATGCTTGTAGCATAGAAAACAGACGCATTTGTCTGTTTTGGTAGTTAACAAAATACCAGGCATGCCTTCCTACTCCCTGTGAGTTGCATATGCCATAGTTTGTACTTCTGTGCTAATATATTTTGGACATCTAAACAGAGTCTCAAAACAACTTATATAACATTTTGTTGAACTTGGTACAGCATCACAAGGATGGTTACAGTGCTTGTAACTAGCAAAAATCTCGAGTCTTTGGTACTTGGCATAAATACATCTCTCCCTGGAGTACAGGCAGTGACCACACTCCTCAAAGAACACTGGTTCTCTAGCAGTAGGCTTTCAGTTATATAGAAATATATTTTAATAAAATGGAAGAAAAAAATCTGTCTAGTTTATACCTGTGAAAATGATAACAGTCTAAAAGATTATGAGTGCTTATGGGCAATTGTTTACTTAGCAAAATATCAAATAGCCAAGCTGTAATGGAAAAATTTTACTGGTCATAAACTCTCAGTGCCCTAGTGAAAGCCTTGGTATTTTTTTTACAGTAAGGTAACATTTGTTATGAGTAAGGATGACAAACCTTTCCAAATGATTAAACTGAATACAGAAAATGCATTTTAAAATAATGTGAAGATATATGAAAGAAATAAAGCATAAAAATATCTGGAACTCTTTGTCCAGTTTTGAAGCAACATAGAAACTGAGTAAAATAAGATTTTTTGCAGTTAAACAAGTTCAGTTTTGTATATGATCTTGCCTGCTTTGTTTCTTTTTAATATACTAACACATATGGGGATTATTTGGAACCATTTAAAGTTTCAGTATTATATTTCATAGGCAAGAAATATGTACAGAATTGTCTGAGTTGGACTGTGGTACTGAATTTGCTTTTAGAGGTGAATTGAAATGCTTTTTGCCTGCAGGAAAATCAGATTTATGGTTAAGTTAATTCAAATATTTTGCTCTTGTTGCAAGTGTTTCATGTTATCCTTTTTAAGTAGTGATATATTCAAAAGATTCCTGAAAGTATTTATTGAGCAGTTTTCTTGCAGAGCTTTTGTCTCTAGGAATAAATATGGAGAGCTATATATAAAATTATCTTACAGTAACATCTCAAAGCATATAAATGGTCTATGCATGAGTTATGCTTAGAGAACAGGGCTTGCATTGAGGCTGTCGTGGGGATAAGCCATCAGAACTGAGCTCAGCAGCAATGGGCTTCTGAATGCTAACACTGGAATAAGAAATGGTCTTCATTTCTTTTCTTTGCTTAGAAAACAGTTCTTGGAAGTTAGGGCTCAGACATGAAGAATATACGTGACTTATCTGCAGGACATAAACACATGTCCAGTTACTCTCCTGCGTAAAAATCCTGTGTGCAGTAGTCCGGTTTTTCCCATTTTCTTTTTTTCCTTTCTCCCAGATTTCTTCAATTGTGGAAGCTGTTCAGCTCTTATAGCTTCCAGGGTCTGTCTGTCAGTTAATAAAAACAGCATCATAGGGATGGAAGGTCAAAGCAGTTCTTGCTGAGGAAAAGTCTCTTTCACATCCAAAGATTTTTTTAAAAAAATCATTGTTCAGTGTTACCATCAGTATTATATGCTAGTATCTGTGTCAGTATTACCTGTCATTCATTTACTGAATCCCTCATATAAACAAGTGCCTTCTTGAACACACCTGACATACGCTTGGTTAGGAAAAGGAGACTGGGCTCATAGGATTTTTCTGTTAGTTCCAGAATAGAAATTCCCGCTGCTGATTACTCCTGGTCATTTTCTCAGTGATCTCTTACAGGTCCCAGATTAATATTGAATATTCTGAATAATTTATCATGAAAGTAATTATAGCTGCTTACTAAAGCATATGGTGTAATGCATTTTCAGGGAATCTGATTTGTCCACTTCACTTTTTATATATACTTACATTATCTACATATAATATGTCTACTTATGGAAAAGAAAATATATGTCTTCTGGGAAAAGCTTTTTTATTAGAAAATCTGGCTAAGCAGTATATCTTTGCTCTGGATTTAGTATTATTTTCTTATTCTCAAAGAGGTAGCTGTTCTGGTTTTTTCTGTTCTTTTATTCCTACGTAAAATCTGCTCAAATATCCCTCAAAAATAAAGTGTTAGAAAACACTTGTTTTAGAAGAATATTCTTTATTACAAAATGATCTTTATTTATTATGAAAGTGCCAGTATATTCTGACACTATCCCTGCCTTACTGTTAGGTATTCTTTTGTTTTATTTTTAACTAGTTTCTTTCATGGTGGATTTCCTATTTTATATACATTACCTGGATGTATTTTATATCACTGCTTGCCATGGGCTAGTTATAGTATAGACTATTTGGCTTTGCAAAGATAGAATAAGTATTAACAAAGTATCCTGAGATTTAACCTGGACTTTGCATCTACTGCCTTTCGTACTATTAGGATTTTTACTCTTCCTTCTCCCATAGCAGTTGCTATCTTTAATAAGTAAGGAGTTCGTGAAATTGCATATTTGTCAAGTGGACGCTGATTTCTCCAGCTTTTCCAAGAAAATCATAGGAATTCTAAGGATATACAGAAACTAGTAACTTTGTCTTAAAATGAATTATCTTTATTTGTAAATTGGACACATGATCATGAATTCTGTTAGTCCTCTGAGAGTTTGAACGGATTTGTTATTTTTCACTTTCAGAAAAACAATTCAGTTCACCTTTAATGTTTTGTTGCATCAAAATCAGGCTAGTGGTTCCAGATGCAAACTTAAATCTCACATGTGAATTACAGTGATTATGTCAATTTTCCAAGTTTAAAACTTTACATAAATTTTACCTATTCTGCATCAGTTAGTTTACTCATTTTTTAATGGTATGAAGCACAAAATACATTGAACAACCGCTCCTTTATATATTTTGTATTTTTTTCCTTTCTATTGCCATAGTACCTCACATGATTCCCAGCTTTTAAAATAACATGTTTCCATGAAGTTGAGCTTTACTTTCTTGTTTATGATAATTAGGAATTTTAGGGCTTCATCTTTGTGGTTGTGTTGAAGTGCATAAAACTGCAAGATAAATTCAAGCAATATGTCATATCATAGTCATATTTACCATAGACATAAGTATATATTAATTTTACCATCTTGCTGGCTGTAGCATGTTTGGTTTACAGTAAAGTAAAATTATAATAGATGTCTGGTTAGTGAAATGGAAACAATTAGCAACAAAATTCTGATGGCTGATTAGCATTTTTTTTCTTTCCTAGGGATTACATTTTAAAATACTGAGGAGCTTTGAGTCAGAGGTTATATTTGTCCAGTAGTAATATTTTCAGTGAACATATGTTTTCCCTCTTCCTAAAAAAGCAAATGGTTACTCTTCCGCATTACACTTGCTACAAAATATACCAGTTGGCAGTAACTAGCCCTCCTTGTATTTTCATGTATGCTTCATGTGGCTTCAAAAAAACAAACAATTGAACAAACGAAAAGAAAAAGAAAAACAGAAGAATCTGTCTTTCCTTTTTCTAAAATATTTTTGCATATTTTAATAAGCAATTACTTCATGACAAAGGAGACGGCTAGTGAAACTTAGCTGGTTTATGGATTCCTGTCAGCTCTTATCATGAAGAACTTGGAAATAGTACTTCTAAATTCTGAAAGGAGAAGACTCACAAAATAATCAGGTGCCAAAGCAAAAGGAATTTGCTGCAAATGTGGTTGTCGCAGGATTTTTTTGGCTCACATTCTTTGAGAAGTGCTGCCTGGGTTTGAACATTATCAGGTTATCTATCTGGGTGCAAGCTTCTTGTTTCTTTTTATGTTTTCATTTGCATATCATTGGCATAACTCATGTCATCTAATGCTTCATAATTATATCTGTTTCACTCACCACCCATCCTGTCTGTGCAGTGAGCTTCTTATGCTGCCCAGAGCAAAACGAGGAAGAAGTGCAGAGTGCCTACATACCATCAGGTAAATACAGGAATTTGGTAATCATGAACACATCCGGTTAGTTTTGTATACTTTGCGTGCCTGACTGTTTTCCACAACTGTATTTATGTCCTAGTAAGTAAAGAGTTTTCTAAAATGTTGTACCTTGGCTGTCAATTATTCTTTTTCACTTTTTTTTTTTTTTTAATTTAATCGGATTGAAATAAATGTATGGTTTTGTTGGCTTCAGAAGTAAGGGTTAACCTGCTGATTTTGTGGCTGTGTTTTGTGGTAGATCATCTGTCTAGTCACAGGAATTCAGCTATCCCAATGCATGCCAGTATTACAATTTTATACATTCCTATTTTGTTGGTTTTTATGTTCGTTTCCATTTTTATTCATTGCACAGTGCAAAAGCATACATACACAGACCTCTCTTCTTAGAGTTTTGAGAGCACGTTTTTACAGATACATTTTCAGACGAATGACGAGCTGGACGAGACTGCAGGTTCTGCATGTTAGACTGCCAAATCCCAGGGTTCAGGACTGATGTGCAAACATCTCAGACTCCTTCAAATGCCACAGCTCCTAAAATCCAGAAAGAAGAGGTTTAGGCTATTATTAGGCTATTACTTTATTGCGCGGAAAGTGAGAAAGTAGGATTTGGGCATCTGTTTAGCATTTATGTCTGAAATTAAGCTTGTGCATAGCTTCAGAATGAAAGTTTAAAAGGTTTTAATGCATTTTTAAGTTTTGTGCACTATAAGCAACTTACTGCCTTGAAGGATGGACAGTCTAATTTTGATCTCTCTCCCTGCATTATTTTGAAAGATTAAAAAAAAAAACAAAGATAGGTAGGTAGTCAATCTTTTAATACCAAAATATGCCAGTCTAAGCAAAGAGCACGTTAGAATTAGAATTTCCTGAAACTTCTTTTCGTCATATACCAGGCAAGTAATACATTCTGAATCAGAATGATCAAGCTGATAGCACCATTGTCATGGCATTTAAGAAGTGATATATTTCTACTTGCTAAACAAATAAATAGGAAGGACAGAAACTTTTGAAAGAGCTTCTTACAATTGCATTGCATGATTATTTGTGGATTGGCTCTTCAGTAAATATACCAGTCTTATCCCTTTCATGTGTCTAATATTAGGGAATTAAACTAGCATAAAATTATAGTACTCTAAATAAAATGCTTGACTGCTCATCGTTATAGAATGAGGATTCTTTATTGCCGTAACAAAAAACTTGACCTTTCCAAATACTTAACTTAAATCCTAGAGAGTACTAAGTGTAGAATAGTCGTGGAGAACAGAGATTATAGGCTATACTAGCTCAAAATGTCCATACTACAGTTGAGAATGGTCCAATGATCTTTACTTTTTCTGACACCTCATATTATGCTGGCTTTGGTCATCTATAGAGGAAAGAGCAATACTTTATGAGGGCGTCATTTAAAGACTCCTTGGCAACTCCAGATCTGAGGGAGTCTCATATTACTTGCTCTTTCATTTTGGAATTGTGTTAAAAATTAGATCCATGCATAAAATTTGCAGTTAGGGCTCATCTTTAATCTTTCATAGTATCTCTTCCAATGCTTAAAACTCCCTATTCCCAGTTGAGAAAGTAAATAAGACTGAAATGCCCTTTTTTCACACATGTATTTACTAGGAAATCATATCAGTTTGTGGAAAAATTCTTTCAGTTAGAATAAACTCATATAATAAAATCATAGATTTTGTCATCTGCAAGTGGTATAAATGAGATAGTTAACCATTTTTTTTTGTCCAGGAGCTGCATGTTGCTAAGGACTTTTAGGTTAGTGTTATATATTTAAAACCATGTTATGTAATACACTTTTTGCAGTCCTCTCATGTAGAATTTTCTCCTGCATAATAGTTTCTATTGATTTGCCCAGTGTTGTTCTAATTCTCTTGACCGAATTAGAACTGAGGATATTATGATTGCATTCTCTTATACTGTGTTATAGTACAATTGTAAATACAGAAAATTCCAAAACTGAATATTTGTGTGGACACTACATTTAAATTTACATTTTAAAGTTCTATAAAAAGAGTTTGACTCTTATACTGCAGATAAAAAAAAAATTACCTCAATGTTTTAAAGTTTTAGTGGTTAATCAGTTATTTTACTCCCTGTTCTTTTAGGTAGCATAATAGCATTTTTTTTTTCCTGCCTCCTTCCTATGGCCTTTTTCTTTCAGATGAATTTTTTTACAGTTTCCTCTCCTCCCACCTATGGACTCATTAATTTGCTCCTAAGGGTTGTAATTTTTCAATGAAAATGTTTAAATTGTCACTTAATTCATGAATTAAACATTGTATGATGAACTTTTGATAAACTTTGCCCACCCACTATAGATTTCCAATTGCATTGCAAATCTACTGCTGTCTGTCCTGCTAACCAATTTAGGCTAAATGTTTTCCATAGAAGGCCATAGGTTAGGTAAGAGGAACAAGAGGAACACCAAATTCACAATGCAGCCCTTGATTAACTTTTTAGTTTGTCGTTCTATAATAGCTATTATTTTCTTATGTTCAAGTAAGCTCCAAAACCATCGATTTAAAAGCAATACCAATGGGATAACATGAAAAGAATAATGCTTTCAATAGTATATTGAATGTGAATAATCAGATAACAGAAAACATTTAGTGATATTAGAAATTGCACTATATGGCATTAGTCTTGTTTTCTAGGCAACCTTCTGCATAATCTTTTTATGAATAGTTGACAGCTTCAGCTTAACATGGGAAGGAAAAGACATTTTAGCATCAGATGCTCCAAGCTACCAAGTCATGTGGTTAGTTTGCTAAATGAGTTTTAAATAACACTATTCTTAGCTGTCCATCCTGCCTGTCCAGTGGTGGGCATTGCCTTGCAGCAGAGACGGTGGGAAGGAAGGCACGTGTGTGCTGCAGACAGTGCAGCTTGCAATCCGCCCAGAGCTCCCATCTGCATGGATTGGTAGCATCTGCAGTAAGCCAGGATGAACTGAAGCATCTCAGGGACACCCATTCCCTTTCTCCAACTTCAGTGACTTCGGCAGTAAAGGAACCATGAAATGCCTTGGCTGTGATGTTGACAGATACAGTGTATCTGTCATGACACATTTCTCCTCTGTTCACCTGGGCAGAGATACTGGATAAAACAATCTCTATCCCCTTTTCTAAAATAATACATACTCTAAGTAATCATATGATGTTAGATAGTTGTCATATGGCACCCTGGAGCTCTGCTGGAATGACTGACAGAAGAGTTCTTTTACTTTTTAAATTAGCTTATTAATATCAATACTATTCAATTAGTAAGGTTTTGAAGCTGATATACCACTTCCAAAAGCATTCTAAAGTGCCAGATGCTAATGCATCTATAATTGATTTGGAGATACTCTCTATATATAGATGTTTTAGCAGGATTTTCATACTTAGCTCCTGGAGAAGTTAATGTCTCTAAGTCTAAATAAAGCATTACTGATAGAAATAAACAGCAAGTTTATTATCAAATCAATATTTTACGACAGCTTGCTTATTTTAATTAAAATCTCTATAAAAAGAAATTAGATTACTTTTATTACAAGGAAAAATATGATCAAGTATTATACGTGCAAGTATTGTCACGAATTTGTACTAACAAAAGTGTAAATATAAAAATATGTCCCCCTACTGACTGTCACCATAGCTGAATTGAGAAAAGCACATACTGAGAAACCTATTCATCAAGCTCTTCAACTTAATAGAATATTATGAATATCATGCATTTATTTTAAGTTCTGGTCAGTCTTGCCTTATCTTTATCTGTGTTTTTATTTTTGGTATGTTTTTGTTCTGTTCTGTTCTGTTTTCTCTTCTGCAACATTCAAGAAATTCTGTTAGGCATTATAAAACATTACCACCCAAGATGCCTTTACTAGAAAATGGCACTCATTGGAACATATACAGGTAAGAAGTATTCAGAATCCCCTTTGAGTAGTTAATTTTATAAAAAAAAAAATAGCATTTCCCTATGCAAACTCATATTTCATGCGATTTTGATAATGGAGAGATAAGGGATATACTCCTAAAATAACTTGCTCTAAGTGTCTAAATTAACCTTTACATATAAAAGACAAACACTTTTTATTGGGTAGAACTTCAAACTATACTCAAATATCACTGTTAACATTGGATGTTGCATCTTTGTTACATTTTTTTTAATGTATATGATTTTGGTTACATGTCAGATTTATTTTCATTTTGTTTAAATGGTTTTAATTTACAAAGCTCAACTCTTCCTGCATGTGCTAAGACCAAATCAGTGATTAGACAGGATATTTCACTTCTTCGTGATTGCCTTAATTCACGAATATCAAAATTTGGAGATGAACTACTGGTTAGGTAAGAAACTAAAGATTAATACCCCCTCCTGTTTGATATCTTATATGGTTTTTGCAGAGTAAATTAGCTTCACTGTGAACTACTCTCACATAATATACAATAGATCACATCCTTTAATGCTGGCTTAAGGTTTACTCCTGTTAAGAAGGGTTTAGATTTATATTTCATTCCACTTTCCTACTAGTGGATATTTTTTTATCACACTCATTTATTTTTAAAAATTTAGATAATTTTTAACAAAAAGAATTTGTAGAATTCTTTTTTTTTGCTTTATTTTCTAAATAAATCTTTACACTGTCATCCAGTCAGCTTTTTATGTTTTTCTTAATTAAATCATTGTGATTCTACATTTTCTGTAAAGAGAGCATTATTTTATGAGTTAATATCTAACATTGTATTCCTTTCTTTGTTTTCTTTTTCTTTCTCTTCTACCATTGGATGCAATGGCACTAGTGAACTACAGCCCTCCCTTGACAGGGCTAGGAGTGCTAGTACCAACTGCTTGAGACCAGATACTAGTTTGCATTCACCAGAACGAGAAAGGTATAAAATACAGACTTATGAATTTCTTGTCATCTGTGCTGGTGATCTCTCTCAGTTTTGTTTTTCTTCACATGAGTACTCTTCATATCTGTACATTCATGTCTGCCTTGGTATTTGTAGACCTTTTTGCTTCTATATTCATGTATGTCATGTAAGTTGTGTGTTGGAGTTTATAACTGCTTCTGGCTTCTTTCCCTGTTTTAGTTCAAGCTGATGTCATTGCTTACAAAAGTCCTCAGTATGCTGATAAAAGCATTACAGTGTTAAGTGAAGTGTTTTGAAGAAGCACCATGTGATTGTTAATCTTCATCATCATTGCTAAAACGTATAACATTTGTTTCTTGCCTGTTCTGTGCACTGCTCATAAGGCAGTGACCTTACCTACAAGTTATATGGCAAAACTCTCATATTTCAAACCAGAACTGTAGTTTGTATAATAGCATATTTTCTACAAATGAGCCAACCAAACTTCATTGCTTTCTTAATCGAATCTGCCGCTTCTGCTTTTGCATCTACTTAAATAACAAGGTGATCAGTACGTTAATTTTCTCACTCTATGACATGATATTAAGGCTGGCATAATCCTTAGGAAGTCATTCTAAATTTAAATTAAATACTGACTAATTCCTTAAATCCTTCACATGTATTATGAATAATTTCTTTATTTTTTTCATATTATAATAGCTTAGTTCAAAATCTTATGTGAACCAAATACTAATGATTTGTTTTATAGGTAGGATTGTTCCACAACAGAATTTCTCAGTGTCTAAGAGTTATTCCATTTTTGTCTAAGAATTACTCCATTTTAAGATGAAATTCTGATTTTACTAAAGGCAATAACAGATTCCTATTGTCTATATTGAAAATATAATTTATACAATTTACATTTAATTAGTAGGGCAGCTAATAATATGAAAATGATAGACACTCACAACCTGATGGTTAAATCGGTTGCTTATTTTCACTGTCAGGGGAGAGGACCTGTAAATAAAAGTGATTATTTTTGTCTTTTATTTAAATATTCTTTTCTTTTGATAATACGTGGAATTTCCCTCCCCTACTACCACCTTTCCCATTGCTCCCAGATTGGAGTTATAGTATTCTCAAAGTTGTGCTCTTGTACAGGAGTGACTAAGTAATCTTCTATTGATAATATGTCAGCTAGATCTATGCTCGTTTGTTCTTTTTTAAGATCTAGCCTGAGATATCGTAGCTAATATATATGTAGTTACCAAAAAATATAAAAGAAATAAGGCAATGCATAATTAAATACAAGATATCGTTTTAGATTAAATAAAAATAAGTTTATAGTAGCAGAATATTAGTAACTGTGTATAGATATATACAGCTGCGTTCATGTATAAGCAGTTGTTTTATAGTGTATGGACACAGGTAGTGTATGTTTTGTAATTTCATTTCAAAATGTCATACATCAAGCTGAGTATTCAGTGAAAAAATAGTTGGCAATTGTAAAATATTTCATTAAAATATTCTAATTTAAATTCATCACTGTTGCTAACTAGATCTATCATGTCTTTGTGATTCATCTGACATAGCTTTTTACCACTAGGCACTAAATAGAATCTGCAACATTTTTCATAAGAACCTTACTAAAAAAAAAAAATCCAGTCTGTGTTAATAGCATCTACCATTTACTAAATGTTAGGTTATGTTAAATCATCTGTAGGTATGGTCCATAAAAATAGTGTGTCACTATGAAATTTTTCTACCTGTGCTGTAAGAAGTCCTAGAGGGTGATTGAATAGTTGCTTTTGCTTTTGAGTCCTTCACTGGGTAAAGAAAAGCTTTTTTTTAGTGATGTTTGTGTTCAAAATTTCCATGATGGTTTTCTTGCAAATAATAGGTACCTATGTGGTTCTCTTAGGGGATTAGTGACATGCATTTCTTGCCTTTGGACACTGATGTCATTATTCCAATGCATCAAAGTTTCAGAGCAAGATGTTAAATGCATTAAAAGATATCGAACAATTTGGGGAGGGAAGAGTAGTTTTAGAAGGCTTCATTCTCCACTATTGAATGCTTTAGCATGAGATAAGTGATCAGTCACTTATAATCATAGAAATGTGTTTTAGTTTGAAGAACACAGAATTAAGTTCAAGGTGTGCAAAAAGCATTTTGTGTCTATGCTGGACAAGATAGGAGTAATGGCCTTAAGTTTCAGTAAGATAGGTTCCTGTTAAACATCAGAAAATGCTTGTGAAAGTGTGTATAATTAATAATATTGGAAAGGCTGCCTAGACTAGAATTGCCAGACAGAATTCTGTAGTTACTTCTGCTTATAGCGAGGAGATATACTACCTGAATTTGTGAAATACAATCTATATAGCACCACTTTTTTACTATTGTGTGTAAGAAACATATTGAAGATCTTGGTGTTTTTTTCATTAAGTGGATTCTTTTTTCTCAGAATATATTTGTAGATTTTATTTTAAAATATGGGCTTGTAGGCTTCAAATTATAAAGATAGAATTCCAAATGCGGCATTATATATTTTCTTCAAATAAATTATGAGTATACATATCTGTTGAAAATTCCTTCTGCTCCGTTCCCCCAACGTTTTGTCTCAGAGAGTATAAAATAGATTGCAGTTGACACCACAAGTTAGAATAGTCTACCTGAAACATCAGTCTACCTGATATTTAACAAATGCTTTTAGCTCTGTGTAACCGACTGATAATAGAACACCATTTGTTTGTGTTAATGCTTTACTGGGTTAAAAAAAACAAATCCTTGAGTTCTATGTAACATTTCTCTTATCATTTGGAATGGTTGGAGCAATTGTTAATTTGAAGAAGCTGCTGTGCCAGCAAAAGCAAAAGTCATTGTATTACCAGCATTAACAGTGTACTATTTCTGAATGTATAAACCTTTCAGTTGCACTAAAAATTAGAAAATAAGCTCTTTTTTTCTGCTATTGTAAGCTACATCATTTGTAAAAGAAAAGTCTGCTAATTTAACTGGACTGGCAAACTGCCCTTGCCTTGATGCAGGCCTAGCTAAGCACTCTGGTAGGTGGAAAACTTTGGTACAATATTTGGCAGAGTATGCTAGGATATTCAAAGAGATCTAGCCTTGATTTACTGCATGTATATGCAATTACACGTTACCAGTCTTTTTTTTCTCCTCCCATTATTCCTAACTGTTTTGGTCAAAAAAAAAAAAATTGTCTTGTTGAAGTTTCTGTGATTATGTGCAAGACATATGTTAGCTTAGAAAGTAGTCATAAATACCCTCTAATGCCCTTGAAAATGTTTTTGAGCAGCCAATACTTCCATTAGTGTGTTATTTCATTACTGCTCTGTTCTTTTCACTGTGTCTCAAAATTTCTACTATTTCTCCTTTTGAGTGTCATGTCTGTAGAACAGAGCAGTCTATGTGCAGTCAGCAGCTTCAGCTCAGGAGGGCCCCAGGCCTGAGATTTAAGTGCAATAGCACTTAAATATCAATTCACTAGCAATTTCTCATCATAGTATCAACTCTCCTAGATGAGCTAATGTTTAATATGTTAGCCACAGGTAGTTATTTGCCACACATTGTGGCTTCTGTTTACTGTCTACATTTCTTGTATTGCAAGCAAATATAGGGTGTCATAGCAGATAACACAAAATGGGCAGAGCAAATTGGTAATATTTGTAAGCTTTGGTGCTGAGAGGTTTAGTTAGTGGAGTTCTGAGCAAGGAAGCTGAAAAGCACATCAGATCAGACTGAGGATACTCAGCACACCTGCAAAACCCTCTGTTAGATTCAGTCTGAGATGTTGGCTCCTAGAGAAGTCAAAACATCACAAAGATATTTCAGGATTTTTTCTGCTAATTGGTCACTGCCATCTAACAATTTGAAACAGTCATTTGATACAGTTAAGTCCTACCCTGCTTCAGGCTTTTTTTGATTTTAGTGTGATTTTTATTAACTTTTTTTTTAGTGATTTTGGAATATTAGCAGTTTATATCACATTCTTTTAAAGGTTATATTGATCTGTCACTTTTTATTTAAAATAATTCACAGGAAAATATCTGTTTGCATTAGGTATGCAGTGTATTATGTTTTTTTTCCTTTCAAACATGTAAAAGGATGGGTTGTTGCATGTTTGTCTGCAATGTAATGTGGCTCATGATCATTCAGAACTCAGTGAAAGAGAGCATGTTCACAAAGTTCATACTGCATGACCTAGGTAATTCTATCAACTGCTATTTAATATTTATAGTAAATATCAGCATATTAAGGGCTTTGACTGAGTGCACTGATGCATTAACATTTCTTTAACTCTTGCTTTGGAGAGAAAAAGAAACTAACCACTAACAACCTGTCTTCTGAAATCTATTCCTAAATGTTCAGGTGATGCTAATCTTCTTGAAACCTTTGTTATTTGCATGCCCCATAAGTGAACCCCTTTTCCTTTTTTACATGGACTGGAAAAATTCCTCAGAAAGTGAAATATATATATAGTTGTGCAGAGCTTATATAGTTTATGTTCTGCTATTTTTGTCAATTAAACAGTATATTTTTGGAGTTGCAAATTATTTTATTTACAGTTGCACTTTACAGCCATATAACATCACCACAAGAAAATCAATGGTCATCTGGAGTATATTATTTACTATTCTAAATTAAATGAGCTTTTGAAAGAAAAAAAAATCTATAACACACGAGTTTCCTTCCCAATTCAGATTATATTTATTTCTATAACATGTAACCTAATGGAATGCATTTCAGGGATACCAAGAAATGAATCCCAGTTGGCTGCATGCACCTGCAGTGTATATTGTGAAATTAAATATATATATATATATATTTCTAGTACACAAATGAGAGTAGTTTAATTGTTGCTAATTGTTTTGCCTTTAGAGTATGTAAAAATGACAGTGTGTAATGAAAAATGGATGCAGTATTGCTCTCTCCTTTAAATTAACTTTAAGATTAAACATTTACTTTAACTTCAAGTTACTTAAGAGAGAGTAACTGCTTATTGAGTAATGAATTTCTGAGAAATTCCCACTTTAATCTTTGAATCTTCTTGGTTCTATGAAAGAACCAAGTAATCAAGAGGAAGTAGTCAATACTGTAATATTAAGTCTTTAAAATCTGAGCTGTAGTTTCTACTGAAGTATTCAGTTAAGAGAACACTTGAATGGACATGGTCTACTTTAGAAAAACTTCAAAGTGAACAGAATATGAAGATACAAGTGTTCAAGACAGTAATGGTGCTTTGTGACATATAGTATAATAAAAGTATAACCTTTAACGTATACAGAGCTTCTTCATCCTAGCAGCTATGCAGTATATAAGGGGCTATTTAGGCCCATTACAGGTGAACTGAAGTTGGACTAAAGGAGCTTTAGAAACTGATTTACACTTGTAAATCTTTAACTAAGAATGCATTTTTCAGTGCAGAGATCTAGAAAAAGCTAGGATGACAACCCATACATGCAGTATGTGAAAAGCTCTTTTAGTTTGGGATTATAGCTTTCTGTGTGAGAGAAAGACATGTAGATAATCTATCCTTTGAGAATATTTGAAAATTTAGGGGGCACTATGAGAAAGATTTAAATCAATGCTGCTTATGTGGGCACACATTCTATTTGTTTCAGCTATAATGCTTCTGCAGTCAGCAGACATAAGAGCAATACACCTGGGAATTTGAAAACTATTAGAAAGAAAAATTATTAAATGACAAATTATCCATTTCCTTACTTTGAGGGTATTTTTCCAGTCTCCAAATGCATACATTTTAATTTTATCACAAACTAAATATCCTATTTTTTTCCTGTTTTATTGAACGGGCAAACAGGGGTAGATGGTCCCCCTCCCTAGAGAGGAGACGACCTACTAGTCCCAGGATTCATATCCAGCATGCATCTCCGGAGGATGACAGGTACTGGTCAACTCCTCCCAGCTGCAAAGTGGCTTACTGCATCTTGCACTCTCAGAGGAGTATTCCGAAACTTAAAATATAGAGACTTCTAACTTCCAGAAGCCCAAAATAAAACAGCAGCTTAGATATCATCTCTGCATTTTGTTGAACTGTTATAAAGCACCTAGCAATTAATGTCTGTTCAAATCTTCAGTTTGTCTGAACAGTGACAAGCCATGAAATAAGATGTCTAATGCAACAGAGCAACATCTGTGTCAGTGTTCTTCAGTCTGATTTTACTTGCTTCTGTAAATGTTCGTGGCGTTTTCACTGTGGTGCTTTATAATATAAGTATCTGTTGTAGACCCTGTTTTTGTCTAGGTATTTGTTTTTATTTTAGTTCTTCTTTTTTTCTAACACTCTGTTTCTAGAGAAAATAATCTGATATGTTGGAACTGCCTGTAACACACATTAGTTGGTGTATGTAAAAATGGGCACTTTTACTTAATTCCATCCTAAATTAGGAATGTCTTCGTGGAGTAAGTTTTCTTAACAAGGTAAGTTTTGTTTAAGAAAGCCAGTGCCTTGAATATACTTTTGTGCTAAATTACCAGCTATGATGAATAGAAGCATTTATATTTTTCCTGTCATAAACTTCCTACTCAAATCAGTTTTGGTGGTTGATTGGTAGTAGTGATTTTTTTTATGTCTTTCCTTATAATTGTAAATTTTTATGTCTTTATACTTAGGTCCTTTTTTTTAATCAAAGCAGATAGGTGATAATTTTACTAAAATTCAAAAATTGTCCATCGAAATATTTTGTTTTATAAAAAATGTCAGGATAAAGCTGATTCATGTAAATAATCCATATTTATGTAGACTCTTATGAAGCTGGACATGAAACTGTAAGACAAATATACGGATATATTTTTTCTTAAATTACTGCAGTGCTACTGTTTACTGTTGCTTAAAACTATCCACAGTAGTTATATTTGGACTGTAATCTGTCTCACTAGCTTGATACTGGCTTGATTCCACTAATATAAAGTGGAGAGTGTGTGAAACCTGTAACTGTGTTTGGATATTATTTCTCTTTCACCAACTGTAAGCTAGCATTATAAATTAGAAACTTGTAAAACGTTATTTCAAAATCCTTAATGGAGTTCTTGCAGATACTTCTTACAGATACTGCATTTTGCAAACACTAATCCTGGGCCATTTAATGGGACAGCAGTTTACTCTCCACAAATGTACTTGGTAATTGTAGAGGTATTTGAGTAACTTTGCTTCCCATTTTTGAAGTCTATGGAAAGACTGTCTTTGACTTCAGTGGATTATACCTCATGCTGAAATCACTTAATACATGTTAGCAAACACATTACAGTAAAGCATCTGTAGGATTAGAAACCATTGTAAGATTTTGAATGAAAGAAGAATGGCAGTCTAACTTGCTTAGTGAAATCTGTTACTTTCTGTAGCTCTTGCAAAAATCAAAAGGGTCAGAAGGGATGGTGTATGTGGAAGTCTTGTGGGCACTCTGGTCACTAGAAGCAGTGCTGCAGTGATGGAGCTCAGAGCAGCTGAGGCTGCCTGTCCTGCTGCCTACTCGCGGCCTCCTTGTTCCATGTTCTTTCTGCCTGACTAAAAGGAGTTACAAGGACATGGGGTTCTTCATTTTACATGTCCAACAGAAAATGAAGAAGAGTCCAAAACATGCAGTTAACTGTAACTGCCATGCAGTGCTTTAACTTCTTCCTTCCAGAGAGCAAAGGATTAATTAAGGGAAGGTGAGCATTGCAGACTTTGACTGATGTCTTGAACTTTGAACCTCCTCTGCGACTTGACCTTCTTCTGAGGAATATTTCAATTACTTCACTTGTTTTCTGCTATCATCAGGATAGTCATGTAGTGCCAAGTAATAGGACCGGGTTTTCCCAGCACATACTGGTCCAGCACAGCTCTTGAGAAAGCATGGTTCTTCTCTGAGGTCCATCAGCAGATGAATTAGCATAACTCATGCTTAAATCTAGATAGTCCACCTAGTATGTAGAATATCACAAAGGAAATCAAAGGCACTTCACCTTTGTAAAAAGCTTTTGTTGTTGTTTCCAATCATACTGGTTATTTCCCATAGCTTTATTTGACAGACAGTGCTGACAGTTGGTCAGAACAACTCACATCTGACATTTATGCTTTTAAGATACGTTTTTACCAAGTTAACAGCTGATGGAGTGGGTGCCAGGGGAATGTATATCTGAAGGATAGACTGGGATGACTAACGTCTGTTCACCACTTTCCAATCATATCCCACAGATTAATTGACTTTGACAGATGTCATCACACACGTCATTTGCATGCATTTCTGAATTATCTTACAAAGTGGCCAAATTTGCATATAGGGTGTAATCAAGAGCTATTCCTGAGCATGAATTTGTAGTCCCGTGTGTGAAAATGAGGAGCAACCAAGGTTTCAAAGTAGCTGTGACCACTCAGCTGACATGCCATGTAGATGTAGCCTTTCAGAAATCCTCAGGAAAATTCAGGGAATATTGAACATGACATTCTTGATATCTTAAGGCTAAATAAGTAAACGAACCAGCCAAAAATGTCTGAAATCTCTTTTACAGTAATCATGAATAGTCAATAATAGGTTATTTTAAAAGAGTCTGAATTTTATAAAACAATTATTTTGTCACTTCTTGGATATCAATCTTTAATTTTGATGGAAATATTAAAATATTTATGTTTAAAGATTTTGCTTGTACTCAACAGCAGTAACTGTTTCAAAGCACATGAGTCTTCATCAAGTGTGAATAGCCTGTTTGAATACTGGAATGCCTTCTCGATCTGAGATTTGCTACAAAAACATAGAATATACACTAAGGTCCCAGATAAGGGAGACATACCTAGCAGAAACTTGCTACATATAACTCACTGTCACAAAATACAACAAGATGACTTGGTTTTTTTTTCCATTACTTAAATCAAAAGCAAGTTACTAATTTTTCTGACAAGATCAGAAACTAAAAATGCTGAGATTCAAGAATATTCAGATGTAATAGGGAGTATGATGAAACAAAGTGCAGCTATAGTCTTCTAGAAAAGTTATGGCCTTTATGATCAACTTTCAAAATGGTATGAAATTATGAGAAAAAAAAATCTTTTCTTGTACCGTACATAGCTAATCTCATCATTCTTTACAAACATGTTGATGTAGTGTGTAAGTCTGTAGTGATGTTCATCTCCCAGGTGCTCTGATGGTATCAAATCCTGTAGGTAATATGAGTGGCAGTAAGAATTTTTCTTTTACTAGCAAGCCAGCCATTTTGAATCTATGGGATGTATTATCTATCATCTCCTTTGATAATGTTTGTATGTCTTCAAATACTTTTTTCCCACCAGATGTAAATTTGTGGGTTTAGGAAATCCTGACATTCTTTACTTGGTGCTTAGGGAGAAAGTGTTTAGTGGGAAGGTTTTCAGAAATTAAGACGTTAGGAGAGGGTAGGAGACTATATTTACAGTACTTCTTACTGTTGAGTACAGGATCTTGTCTGGAAGGTGCATAAGGGAGCATCAGCATGTAGACTTTTCTTCAACATATTCCATTGTATCAAATTCTCTGAGAAGACTATACAGAGGCTTGGCCTTCCCCATAGTTAGAAAAAAATCCTCAATGTCTTCATTAGTCCCATAAATCTTCTAGGTAACTAAAACTTGTTTACGTTTCTACATTTCATCTATTGATGAAATCTCTCAAAACTATAGCATTCATTTTACAAAATGCAGGTTTTGTTTTTTTCTGTGCCCTGTTATACTGCTTAGTTTCTTAAAGCAGGACCGATAAATTTTACTTTGCCCAGCAATCTCATTGGTCTCAGAATAGATGTAGTATTTATTCTAAATGCTGTATTTACTATGTAAGCTTATCTGTTTCAAAGAGTTTCTTGCAGAGACCACCTGTGTTTGGCTCTAATTCTTTTTACCCAGAATGCTGGTCCTACCCACATGTAAGATGCAGTAAGTGGGACAGCAGCTCTCAGAGATGTAACAACTCCTGGAGTGTTTCATGAAGTTACTCATATGGAAAAGTTATCCATGTATTTGTAGGACTGTGTCCAAAATGAGAAATATTTTTCTCTGTTTCTTAAGGAGTATTTGAATGATAACAAAATAGATTTTAAGCATTCATGTTAAGAAAATTATTTTTGTGTGACATTGTTAAATGTTAAGAATATATCTGTATGTAAATATCACCACTTTCCATTGTATTGTGGCATGTAAGATAACTGATCACCTTTTTCAGTGGTTGTTTAGCTTTTAAGTTTATGACCTTAAAAAGAATGTTACCATTTGTTCAGCGTACTAAAATTTTAGATACAAGTTTAATATATACCCCAGATTATTAGTAGAGTGAATTTTGATGGATGTATTCAGTAAAAGGTATGTTTAAAAATCTTAAATTAATACATCTTATTTTGAAAAAGTTTTATTTTGTACTATATGCTGTATTTGGTAACCAACAAGCCAATAATATTGATGGCAAATTGAAATCTGGGAACAAATTCAAAGGTTCTTATAGAAGTTAAGAAATATTCTGAATACTATCTTATTTTTTGAAAAAAATGGAATAGTGCTGAGGCACACTATTTTTCTTAAAAATTGAATAATGCTGAGAGTTTTTCTTCTTTTGTTACTGGATTGTTGTTTCTTATGAATCACTGTAGCAGAACAGTTTGCAGTAGAATATGAAGGGGAAGGTGTTGGCTATAGGTTAATATATTAGGCTAATGAACAAATCCTGTAGATTAGTTTTGAGAGGTATAATGGTATAAATAGTGCTGCCATTCAACATACAGAATATTAAGATTTTTTTAATGGATTGTGCCTTGTTTTTCTTTTTACTTTATTGCAGTATGGATTGTTAAAGTGGTACCTCAGAATTCCAAAATTCCCTTAAATATAGTGAACAAAAATATAGTCAACAAAATGACTTAAATATAGTCAACAAAAGGGGTCATGCGGATCATAGTCTTGCTCAGAAGATAGTGCCTTAGTACTTCTGGTTAATATATTTGACTGCATGTCTCCATCTTCACTGCATGTGACCATCTCTCTGTTTCTGCTCATTCTGCCCAAATTCACATCCGTGTTTCCAAATTTTGTGAAGAACAAGGACGCTGGAGTCTTGCATTCCAAAACAGGACAGTGTAGACCACCTAAGTGCTAAACCTGGAGCAGTACAGAGGTATCCTTATTTGCTCAAATTTTAGTTCCTAGTAAATGAGGTATTGACTTTATGCTATGAGTAGCTTCTTGATATGCTCTGCCTGATATTTTTATGTATTGGCTTTTTATTCTCTTTATGTGTAAGTATTTGGTGTGCATGTGTTGTTCACACATATTATTTAGTACTCTGTTAAATATAGCTAAAAGCTGAATTTTAATATGTCATGAGTGTCATATTTCTGAGATATACTGTTCTCAGTGGTAGCACAGAGACCATAGAACTATGTTCAGCTCACTAGGACTATATTACTTTGTCACTTTTCACAGAGTGGCATTTCTTATTGTCAGTTTTCCTCTGCTTTATCCTTTTGAGGGAACGGAATGAAGCAAAGGGTGCCTGTGTGCACTGTTTCTCCATTGCTGTTAATGTCAGAGCTTAAGCAAATGGTGTAAAGGCATACAGGGAAAATAAGCTCCCTGGCAAACCAAATGAAAGGTGAAGATGGTTCCAGAGGACATTGGAAGGATAATGCTGCATTCAGTGCATCTGCACATAAGTTTAAATAGTTTGCTGACTTTAGGGTTTAAGTAAAATTTACAGCATTTAGTATGAGTTTCCATGTGTATGCATCTTGAATGGGTCCTGATAAAGAAAAAAGAAAAAAAAAAAGACAACAAACACAAAAGTTACTGGAGAAAAGAGTCTGAGGGAATTTTAGTTTGTAATGTGAGAGAGTATTTATTGAAAGAATGTGTATTCTTTAAAGAACTAGAAGCCATGCAGTAATGATCTCTGTTCTTGCATGTTCCTGCAAAAATTTTGCTTTATTATTTTGTCCTATTTTCTTTGTTGTTAACCACACCATGTTACACTGTAATGCAGTTCAAATCCTGCAGTACATGCAAAGCGTGGAAAACCACTGTGACTGTATTCCTTGGACATACTTTGGTATATTCCAGTTCAGACACTGGATTTCTCTTCATAGCCAGCAACACTTAAAATGATTTTTTTTCCTTTAATATTTTTTATCTATTTGTTTTACCCTTAGTAATTCTTTTCTAGCTTGATATATCATTGATTATATCAGTGCAAGATCCTAACGTATTTTTTGTCATCTCGTATGTGTTACATGCAAGTGAGGTTTTCTCAGCATTTCTGGTTTCATTATAGCTAATCAATCCTCATTTTTGTCCACTCTTGGTCTTAGTTTATGCACTTTTTAAAAGTAAAAGACTAATGTATCTTGATAATTACCAGAATTTTCAGTTTGTCGATCTTAATTTCTAAATACCTGCATTGCCATGGATAGTAGGACAAATTTTGTAACAAAGAAGAAGACTGTTGCAGAGATATCACAGATATATAGTCCTAGGTCCTAAAGGTGAAGCATGCTTTACCATCACTCTCAAATTCATTGACTTGTTTTTTTCATCCCTATTTACTCCCAAATTAAATACTTGTATGACAAAGGTTACCTTTTCAAAATGCAGCCCCTAAAAGAAAGACCTGCTTTGCTACTTGAGTGGTGATTGACTGACCTGTGATCAGGTTAAGGAAAAAGAATGTTAAAGAATGTTTAGTATTATTTCCTGATCCTTGCTCCAGCTGTTTTTTTCTTACTGCCTACTCTGCAATTGTTTTTTACTGCTGTCAACAGATGGCTAAAAGGCCTGTGAGGAAGATGCTGTTTCTAATCAAATACCAATTTTCAAATGGGAGCTAGCTGCATGCTCAGTCAGGGTTAATGTTTTGTTCCCTCTTTTGGTACCTTGAAACCTCACACCATCAGGCCCATGCAAAGCTAATAAAGTCCCTGTGACATAAACCCCCAGTTCACCAGCCTATTCAGGAACATAGTTGTGACTTCATCATCTGTCAGCCATTTCTGCCATTGCCTTTACAATACGTGATTAGTAATTTTCATATAAGCTTCATATCTTTTGTATTCTTTTTCTTCTTTGTTTATTTCTTTTCTGACATCTCATTTCACAGGCAGTCCAGAAAAGTGGAAAGATATAGCAGCCAAAAACAAACTAGAAAAGGCTCCGCAGCTGAAACAGAAAGGTAGGATTAATGATATAATATGCAGTAAACATCTCTCACAAGCAAACTGATTCCAGTGCTTTGAGTATACATCTAATATAACTGTTAAAGCAGTATCAAAACTATGTTGTTGTAGCTTACAATATTTTTTAGTCTGTATCTATATATTTGCTATGTTGCCGTACATACAAAATTTCTATGGCTTTCTCCATTGTTGCATATAAGCTTGAAAGATCAACAGTCCATCTCATGAACCAAATCTGAGACCCATTGCCACTAATTTGATCTTTGTAAAATGAAAATTTGGAGCAGAATATTTAGCATATTTCATTGGTGTGGCATATTTCTTCTTTTTGAAAATAAAGGTCTTTCCCCAGGTAAAATGCATATTTGCATCTGCCATTTTTATGCATGTGACTTCAGTTGTGCTGCAGCTTTTAGGGTGTGTTAATACACTGAGCCATGCCATTTGTTTGTTTGTAATTTGACTGTAGACCTCTTGAATCATTAATCTGTTTATATATATTTCTCATCCTCAAAGTTATTATAAAAGGCAAAGATTTTAGATATAAATTTAATAGTAAAGAACAAGAAATATGCCACACCAATGAAAAATGCTAAATATTCTGCTGCAAATTTTCATTGTCTTCGAAGTCTTCAAAGAGACTATTTTCACTTTATGATATACAAATGGTAAATTCCACATTTAAGAAACTATAGAAAATTTTATTATCTGTCATTACATAAAGCTAAATTCGCCACTAGGACTTAATTTCTTGTTTCGTTGAATCTTCCTATACATCTATTATGATTGTAACTTCATACCGTAATTCAGGGTTATATATTCAAATTCTAATGAAAAAGGTGAAAACATGAAAGAAGAATTGATTCAAGACTAGATCTAGCTAAGTGCTGAATTTTGTTCAGCTTAAATACAAACAGTGATTATGCCTGGTTATGCCTGAAACAGGTTGATGTCAGTTTTGATTAGCAGATGTGCACATCTGTTTGCCCGGTGGAGTCTGAAAAACTTCAATGAACAACAAACATTTTTATTTTCAAATATAATGTGCATAATGCAGGAAAAATTCAGTAAGAGTTTTGCCATGGAGTTTGCTAAAGCCAGGTTTCCTTCAGCCTTTTTTTTTCTCCTGATTTCTGACAGTGAAGGGAGCTACTGCTTCCCTGACTTCCCATGGGACTGCGATTACTGTGGTCTCTTGATTCATGCTCTATGCCTAAAAAGCTTGAAGGAAGCTGGGAAGGTAGATAATATAGGAGAGGGATAGAAAGTAAATGGAGATAAAAAAAATGAGGGGAACATAAATAGAAAATATGGGAGCATAAAGGATGAGAGTTCAGAAAAGAAGGTGTTGGCAAAAGGACAAGGACAATAGAATGAGAGGGACTGGCAGAGTCCAGAAGACCCGCATCTGGAGAATATATTTGTATGCATGCTTACATTTCAAACCTGAAATGGCAATGTACAACCTGGGGGTGTCTTCTGAAATTGCAATAAGTGCATAAACCGAAAAACATGTACTAAATCTTGTGGTTTTGTACTAAACTAGATGGGGGATGTGAATCATAATTATGAAATACTTGGAATTTCAAATATTGCAGATGGTAGGAACTTATTTGCAGGGACTGTGACTGTGAAGTGTTATGCTGAATACATTAGCCAGCATGTGGGCTTTTCCTGTAAGGATAAGCATGTAATAACATTTAGGAAAAATGGGCTATTTGAGGCTTAGGCAACATGTTTCTCTACTTAAAACAACCATCATAGGTCTGATTTTAGTTTTATTTCCAAGACATTTCAGAGATTCTTACAGTTTTAACTCAAAATATAACATACAGCTGAGCATTTCTTCATGACTATGAGAAAAAGTGACACCAAAGGCAACTCAAATATTGCAAATAGTGCCTTGTATGCGGAATTTCTGTGTGATATAATGGTTTGAGAGCTGGATTCTAAAGAGGACTTCAGTAAATCTAATGATTCATGTGCTGAACTTTGACAATTTTTTTTTTCCTTTTTCTCATGTAATGGCCTTTGTAATGGCTGTGGTCAGTATGTAGTGCTAAGTATGTTGGTTTTTAAGCATTGTGATACAAGTACTTCCCTCTGCCCAAGTTAAGGAAAGTTTCTAAAAGTGTCAATCTCATAGCTTTTTTTTTTTTTTCTTACATTCCGGCAGAAGAGGGAGAGCTCTGATTTCTGATGATTTTAGATGTTAACCACAAAAATATCTAAACATATCTGAATGCTCTAGTTAGTATTTAATCAGAACGTTAATGTTGTGTTAATGCCAGGAGATTTTGTTAAAAGGCCAAACAAATGGCAAATACAGCTCAATACTAGTACTTCCCTAAATATCAATTTTTGTCTTAGATTTGGCCCTAATTTTCCTATTCAGAGATCTTGTCAGGTTCAGTGGATTACTGAGAATAAGAACCAGCATACTGTCAACTTCTTTATAAAACCCTTCAACATTATATGTAAGATTAAGTTTTTAGGTATTGTGGTATCTTAGGGAGTTTATATAAACAGAAGGAAGCAAATCCTTTCAGAATAGTTTGCAGAGGTTAAGAGTTCTAATAACAATTCCATGGTAAGCCTTCAAAATGAGACTGTAACTTTTTCTGAAGTGGTAAAACGGCTTAGTAAAACCTCCAGTATTTTTTTGTGTCCGTATGAATGGGACTACAAAACTATGATGAAAAACGGACTCAGACAACTCTTGATTTCTTTTCTTTTACCCCTGACTACTCACCCCAAAAACACCAAAGTTGAGATTGCCTGTCAAGTTTTGTCACAACATTACGACACAGTGTTTATCAGCCTGGTACGTGCTATCTTTTCCCAAGGATGCTCTGCCAGAGGTGCATGAGATCAACAGTGAACACTTTCTTCACAGTACCATATGCAGCAGCATGTTTCATTTAATACATAGCAGTGGGACATGAGTTTCAAGTGAACGGAATTTGAGTTTTCTGGGGATAAAACAGGGTTGGGACATTTAGATCCCCTGACAAGCTGCTGCCTGTTAGATTAACCTTCCTTCACAGGGACCAGCAGTGCCTGGAGATGGCACATGCTCAAATGTGCTGTTGCAGTCCCATTGCTACCACATGTCATTCCTCTCCTAATGTGCCTCAATTCTATCTCAGCTCCTTGGTCATATACCAGCTTTTGTCTCTCGTAATTGTTCCTTTTTGTCTTATTGTCCTAATCAGCTATTTGCAGGCTTCTTCCTTTCAGCAACTGATCTTTCTTCTAACACAGTAAATTTTTAATTGCATTTTTTTCTTTTTTTTTTTCTTTTCAGTTTCCTTTTAGCTCTAGTCTTCATTTTCACCCCAGGCATTTTTCTTCTCTATCTAAAACCTCAGCTGAGTCTGGTTTACCTTCATTTTAGTTAGGCAGATCCTGTTTTGTCTAGTGGAAGAAGGTCTGTGAAGAAGGTATTACTGAACAAACAGCAGTAACATTTTGAGTGCCAGGTCAGGTGCCTGTTCTTTTGAATTGAAGCACAAGTTCTCATAATGCTTCACTGGATTCTTAAATAAATTCCAGGATTAGTGAGCCTTTACTGTGAAACAGATTGGAACTGGGCACATGACAACCATGTTCATTTTGAGCATACTTCTGTTGTGAAAACAAAGTGGGGTCTGTGTTGCCTTGTTTCAAAGCAAGTTATGTGCAATAGTGGGGATTCCCTTTAGGCCAGCACAGAGAAATGGGCATTTTCAGAACTCAATTCATCTTCGCTATCTTGCTTTCTCTTGCAACCAGGTGAATCAATCTCTTCAAGAATGTTACAGGTGTCCCCAGGGAAGTCCTGGAATGAATATTAAGATTGGAAGAAATCCAGGGGGTGGAAGTAGGCAATTAGAGCATCCAAGCAATTTGTTGCAGTCCTTTAAGAATGTCGTAAAACCACTGTGAGTGTGATTATGATTAGTATGGTTTCCTGAATACCACCAAAGGACAAAGTTCAAGATGGGAGGCATCTTATGTCATACTTGCCACCTTCTCAAAAGATGTTTTCAAATTTGGCACTGACTTGGTCTTTATCTAAAAAAATGAAGGTCTCATGTAGAATTTAAAAAATTACTGAAGTTGGGCAGTAAACAGTCTTGCCTGTAGATTCCACTCTGTTTAGGACAAAGTGAGAAGACAGTTCCTGTGAGAACATCTTAACTGAATGAACTGTATGACTGAGCACAAAAGCAGCTGTTTCAGATTCTTCTTATTTCAATTCTCTGAAGTAGAGAATTAACTTTCAAAGAACTGAGGAAGTTTTCAATTATAAAAAATATATGGAAAAGCTTTTTGATATGTTTTAAAAAAGACCAATGGTAGCGTCCACCTAGAAAATTTGGGGAGTGCACTGTTACGTTGTTGTAATACTTAGAAGGAAACAAAAGTTCTAACATTAATTCCTAGATTTACCTTATCGCTCTCTAAATCTGTAATGCTTCAAGTTAGCTTACACACACAATATATGCAATTATTAAACAACTAGTAATTGTGTTTTATTATCCTAACACAATTAATCCTTTTACTGCATATGTTAATAATGTTTTCGTTAGTGATCCTTCAGAACCCTTCTATTTTCTAGGGATTACTGCAGAAAGATACTGAAATACACACCTTATTTCAAGTTCTTAAGGAAACCAAGGGAATTACATATATGCTTGCATATTGTCCTTGTTTAGGACGTTAATAGGAATATGGTTAGCATTTTTAATAAAATAAAACATGTACCTTAAAAACAGAAATGTTTTGTGTTAAAACTAGGTATTCATAGCCTGCTCTGTGGTAGTACTTTTCTGTAGTGTATGTTAGCCTGGTTGCTGTGTTGAAGATGCAGCTGGATTCTTGGCCAACTATGCTAGTCAGTGCAGTATATCAGCTACACAGCTAGGGTCGTGTGTCTGTGCAGTTGTGAGTGCTCTGCGGTTTGTGGTTTGGAAAGATCAGCTGTATTCTGAATTAATGGCCTTTGCCTGAAATGCCAGCAGTGGTTGTGCAGCTGGGATTGGTGGTTCGTTCTTTGGAGGAGGGGGGCATGGGGAAGCGTGCCTGGAGCTAACAACTGAACGGTTTCTTTTTGGCCCTGATGTTTTAGGGGTCTGCTACCATGTCTCTCTAGAAGGGGACTTCCAGCCCCACGAACGACTGAACAGCCAGTCATTAGGGGAAGGCATCACGCTCGCTCGAGGTCGAGTGAGCACTCTAGTATCAGACCTTTATGCTCTGTACATCACCTAGCTCCTGGAGGGTCAGCGCCACCTTCTCCACTTCTGACAAGGTTGCTATTACATGTACAGCCCAGCTTTGTGTCCTGCCTCCCAGGTGTCAGTGTGGTGTTGTGCTTTCCTGAGCATACATGGCACGTTCACTCATTCTGGCACCATAGATTATCCTCTCCTCATGGTATTTACACTTTTCCCATATCCTTTATTCTGCCCAGCTTCACCATCCAGACGGTATCTTTTACTATCGAATTTGAGTAGTTATACAGTGCAGAGCAAAAATTTGGCTGTGTTTTGTCCTTCCATCGTTGTGTTTTGTTTTGCATCCATATGAAAATTACCGAAGCATTTTGCTTCAGTAGTGTGCAGGAAATAACCTGCCATTTGCACAGCTAACTCTCACCCCACAGACTAAGAGGAAGTTGATTGTTCTACATATTATGAACTCTCTTAAAGTATTTTGAACACAGGCAAATGTTTGCCTTGAAATTGCAAATGGTTGGCAAACTCCCCAGTTGCAACTCTAGTGTAGTAGACAAGCAGTGCCTGTCTGCTAGGATGTGTGGGACTTACTGTCGCTGGCCAGGAAGGTTAAAGGTAAGGTCTCCTTGAGCCATCAGCTTCCTGTCTTGCCTTTCCCTTTCCCTAGTTGTTAGAGGTGCTCTGCCTTACCAGTTTAGGAGCAATCCAAAGACGTGTGTTAAACTCAGATACTCAGTACATCTGTAAGAAACCAAATAGCCGAGGGGCTCTGAAATAATACTCACTAGAATTCAGCCATAGTTAATGGGGTTTTAGCATCTGTTTAGGGTGGAATATTAAAGATTGGATACATTGCTTTTTACTCTTTCCATTTTGTCCTGTATATATGCAGACATATTCACTTTCACACAGACAATACAAACATTGAAAAACGCTTTCTTTTTTTGCTGAATTTCAGGGAGAAAAAACATTAGTTGCTTGCAGTCCTGTTCTTTGTGGCCTCCTACAATTATTGCATCAGCGCAAAGGGAATACAAATGTTAATAAAGCATAAAGATGGCATTTTGTAGGGTCTTTATACCAGTGCAGCAGATCATAATCTTAGAATTGTGGGTTATAATCACAAGTGACTCTTAGAAAACTACTTACAGTTCAGTGGGTTTTGGCTAGTATTTCTCAAAGGGAGGAAAAAAAAAGATCAATTTCTCCTCAGTTGAAAGTTGTTAGAGAAAATTAAGATAAGGCCATATAAATTCATTAGGTATCTGATTTGAGTATGTGCATATGGCATACACCATAATCTGTTTCAAACCCATCTCCTGTATATGCAATTGAATACACGTTTAAAACTCAGAATATATGAATTCTCTTCGTTTGGGTTATTTTGTTTTTATTTTCATTTCGTCTGCAGAATACATCAACAAGGAAGTCCCACACAGTCTCCTCCTGCAGACACGTCCTTCAGCAGTCGCAGGGGAAGACAGCTACCGCAAGTTCCAGTGAGAAGTGGCAGTATAGAGCAAGGTATCAAATAATGAGTTTATCATAGCTCACACTCTTTGATTTCTTACCTTTCTTTGCTTTGCTTAAAGTCTCCTTTTGTAATTACATATTCAATGCTCTATTTCTACCATAAAGCAATAGAAGAGAAGGAAAGCTTATCTCTAGTCTGGAAAGTCCAGCAGAGTTTGAAAAGGAACATATTATATATGATTCAATTGCCTTAATTTTCTAGTGCTTTTTTTGTCTGACCACTTTAAAATTTCTAATAGAATCATTATAGTTTCCATCCACATTTTTCCAGGAACACATTTAGTTTGTGTTCAGTTAAAGAAATCAAGAGACAAAATTTTGACAACAAAACAGTATTATTCATTTCTTATTTTGTGATTTATATTAATTGTTGTGCATTGCTAACATAAATAATAACTATCATAATTTTTTTTCTTCTGGAATGAAATATTGGTCCAGTGAGTAAAGAATCAAAACGGTCAGCATGAGAAATGTGAAAGTACAGGTTATCTGCTGTTACATTCACAAAAATAAACTAGTCATGGAAAGAGAACTTGTCTTTTTTGGAAAGCACAATGTAGGCCTAGTGGTTGTGGAAGATGTTTTACATACAAATATCAAATAAACATGAATATTGCTCCTTCTTTTTCTAGCAACAAACTCCACACAGAATATGAGCTGTTACGGTAGAATGAAATGGCTGTAAAGTTAGCTTTAATATCACAGTGGGTGATATGTGTACATTTAGTTTTTTTCTGTCTTCAAAAGCCTATTTTCTCATTGACTACAAGCAACAATTTAAATTGCTGTATACTACAAGGTTTTCTTCAACATGGAAATGAAAAGAATACTCCTGATGTTAATATATTGTGGTGTTTCTGCAACAGTTCATTGACCCCTTGCTTGAATACATAATGTTCCCAACCATGAACTTTTTATAAAGGATTATCAAAGCTTTTTATATCATGCATAATGGTTTATACTAGCATAAATTCAGTTTACGTTAACTTTGTGGCTTTGAGTTTGAGCTTATCTTAAATCAAAGACATTTTCTTGTTTAATATGTATTTATTGTGTATCATTATTATACTAATACAAGTGGGTCTTAGTTTGAACTTTATGTTTGAGTATTCTGGTTTTGTTTCCTAATGAATGAAGGACTCTCTGAGTTATGAACTGGTAAAAAGCTACATTTATAGCTTCTATTTTCACATGTTAGTATGTTAGGAGTTTAGAAATGAAATATCATGTGTCTTTTGTATTTCTTTTGCAATTCAGAATTGGGCAAAATATATAATGATGAATAGCTTTTAATTTAATTCAGCTTTCGTTTGAGTATTCATCTATCATCTTTCTCCTGTTTCTGGTAACTATTATGCTGTGAATAAAATTCCATGAGAATGAGTAGCAGTGGATTGTAGTTATACAAAAGGGCAAAAACAAATTAATTAAACAGCTGTTTCAAGTTTAGAAAGTTGTTGATACCTTGAAAATCCCTGAAGTAATACTGTTTCATTGAATACGTATTTACATTTATGATTGATATGCTTGTGACGTGTATAAAATGTGCAAGAAATATGCTATATATCCCTGACTTCACTGTTACGCCTATGTCAATATGGCTGTATTACTGCAAATGCAATCCGAGACTAAAGAGATTTCCTTTTCTACATCCAGTAGAGGGATGTCAAGGGACACCCAGTGCTTCAAGGGAATTCTGTTTAATATACTGTAAACTATCATCTTGATATTGAAATAACTGTTAAGGTTTTGCGCTCTACACAAATTCTCTTGTGTCAAGAGAGACCAAAACACATCTGGATATATACGTTTGTGAATCTAAATATGTTTTACAGATCATAATAATTGTTGTAAATACACTGAATTTCTTTAAATCAAGACTCTCTTTTCTCCTTTGGCATTTTCACATTCAGGAGACATAGAAGAATCTATTCATGTAATTTTATTATTCATTAAAACTCAGTTTGTGAAAAAGTGAGAGTTAACGAAGGATCAAGAGGCCATTCGTAATTATATCTTTAGAGACAGTATCTGTAAAAGTTCTTGTAGACTGCAGATAGTTGCTAAGTCTAGTATGGAAGGAAAAATAAATGCTATGTATTTTCACTTGGAAAAGTTGTAAAAAAAATAGATGATATTTTCAGCAAGTTCAATACATGACTGTAGCTGTTTCCAGTGCAACATCATCAGCAGTACTTCCGAAGCTCCAAGATGCACAGAGGTCTTTTATCAGGATAAGGTCCTGAGGTGCTTGATTATGAAAAATTAGTCTGGGTATGCAGGGTATATTTGTTTCCAGTAAGTCACAATTACGTCATTACCTGAGTTTATTCTCCTTAAGAAGCATTTTTTTCTTTCTTTTTTCCTGACAATCTTATAAAAGAACCTAATAATAAAATATTTCCACTCAGTGACTAAAGCAGTGAAATTCTAAGCCATGGTAAGGACAATACCAGTTCTCAATATGTCATCTTGTGCCAAATTGTAAGAGAATTTCATCGGTGTTTGTTATTTGGGTAATGCTTGAATGGAACTTTGCAAATCATAAGAAGGGTGGGATTCTGCCATAACTTTTTTTTTTGTGCCGTTTATCTAACAACTTTGTTGTGTAGCTGCATGTTTTCTTTAATGATACTCTTGCATAAAACTCATTTCTGCAATCTTTACTCAGTTCATTCTTTGTCACTGCAACTATGAAGATGCCCAGGAATTCTTGCTTGAATAGGATTTTAGGGTGGGTCTATGCAATTTTTGTATGGTAGTTAATCATCTTGCAGGTAAAAGCAAATGAATATAGATTGAAAATCTGTAGCATTTTTTCTACACTGCTTGTAAGTTGCTGTAGATAATATTAAGACAGAAGTCAAACAAGTGAATAAGAAAAGCTATATTATGTACTATTGACATTTATGAACCAGCAAGATAAATGTGTGATGGTTGTTGGTTTTTTAGAAATGATCTTTCAGAGCAAATTCAGGACAAATATCATTCTCCTTGTGTCTGCTTTTTTGACTCTCCAGGACAGTTGTTTTGCATAGGCTTGAGAATGTGGTTTCATGTTTCAGAAGTCCTATAATGACAGTAAGGATTGTGATAATTAGCATTCTATTTACATCTAAAGGGCATCTGTATACATCTTGAACTAGTCTTTTTCTTATCTGTTTACAGCAATATAAATAGCAATAAGCCTTATGCAGTGGTTTTTAAAGAAGTGGAAATGTGACCAGAGAAAGAGAGAATTATTCTTGCATTCATTGCTGCAGTATCTTAACCATGTTAGAAAAAATCTGCATAAGACTTGTACATATCTTGTATCCACATGGAAGTGTGTACGTGTGTGTGTGTGTGTGTTGTTATTTCATGAGGAAAAGCCCCTCTTTGAAGACTCTGTTCCATACTTAATGGTGATTGCTTTTATAAAATTATGTATATAATATGTACATATGCAGATCCCTAAAGATACTCACAACACAGAGGAATGAAGTGTGTTGATGTTCAGTTTCCTTTTAACAAACAAGAATCAGAATTTCATGTGAACAAAACAGCATGTTGTTAAATATTACACTTGAGCTGCAAATATCTTTTCATCATTAATCATCTTAAGAAGCTAAAATATAAATAGTTAGAGAAAAGCAGTTTATGTATATGTTTTTGATCATAGAAGTTTCATTGCGGGCAGTAGGAGTTTTGCTTGAGTAATTGGAAAAGATCAGACCCTGTGATTTAAAATCTTTTTTTCAAATCAATCAGTATAAAACTTGAGGTGTCAAAGGAAAAGAATGTAATGTCAAATTTAGATTTTACTCTTTTAGTATTTTTTCTCTTCATATTTCTGGTTTTATTTTGAAATTATTAGGTGGCACTACATATTCTGAGGCAGCTTGTGGAATCTTTACTTGCATTGAAGAGTGTTTTCTCTCAGCACCGCTAACTCCTGCAAATTAATTCAAGTCTCGTAATATTTTCCTTAAAGACCCATTTTCAATAGTTAAGAAATTTGAGTAGCAGTTAATAGGAAGTAAATATGGAAAATTCATTGGTATAGAAAAAGGCTTCAAAACATTTAATGCAACTGTATGATTCAGAAATTAGATACTTAAAGTGATTGCATGATATTGTTCATAAACTTGGGTTTGACGATTTGGATATAGCAGAATACTTAAAGAATCCACAATCTGGATCTTAGTGACTTCATTGTTCCTGTTAATTTTAAAGAGAAAGTCATAGGCTTTATTATTTGTCATGGTTTATCATTTTCATTTTCTACATTACTTTTACATATGCTGTAATATGCCTACTGTACATGCCATTGTCACATGTAACACATTTCTTTATCTAACTTTAAATTTGCTGATTTCTTTTTCTGTTTCCATCATTCCGTGCATTTAATTCATTGAAGAACAAGAGAATTTTAACTCTTCCACAAAAGGTAAATATCTATGTGATTTTTTACAAATGTTTGGCAACTGTTAATACTGGCTTTTCCCTCAATATATTCCATGTCAGTATGTTATTTTTAGTGAACAGTGTTTACCCAGTGATATGGTTCGTTCTCAAATATCTATATGCTGTCTGATATCTCCAGAATCTGAGAGGGATTTCTCTTGTGATGTCTAATTTTACTATGGAAATGGTATATTCTGGATTTAACAGGAGTAGTCATTAAGTTTTACATGGCTCAGAACCTGCTAGTTTGGGTTGAAAATTTTTCAAAGACTAAGAGTTTACTTAGCTCTTCTTGAGGTCTACATGCCTGCTTCTAGTGTAATGGTAATGGTGCAGCCATGACCGCAGGCATCTGTGAAGGACGTTTCATAGGTTTGAGGTTAGGAATAGTTGAAAGTGATGCTGGCCAGACACTATCCAATTCACACAGCAACATTATGAAGAAAAGTTAGTTCAGCATGACCCATGTTTTATTCTCATGACAAGCCCTTAAACCTCTCAGAAAGCTAAGCACGATCTAATGCACAATCCTGCAGTCAGGCACAAAATTCTTGCAGGTGTAGTTTTGATCTCCTATGAATTCTCCATGGTCTGTGTCATACCTAGCAATCAGTGAGCTCTGAGCTACATCTTGAAGTCTGTTCCAGGACATTGAATAGTACAGTCTGTCCCAGTCAAGGAAATATTGCAGATAAGTCCTGTTTTTATTTTTTTCTGGATCTAAGAGTTATCTCAAAGTCAGGATGAAACTTGGAGAGGGAAAGAATGATAATCCTATTTCAAGTTAACTATTAGAAAAATACTAGACTGCATAAACACTAATAGCACTTTACTGATTTTCAGTGCTGAATCCTTAAGATTTGGAGAAATTTTGTTCTGAATCTAGGCTTTGGTGGACCAAAGCCAGTTTCTTTCATGGATTTGAATCGGAATATATGTTTCAGATTCTTCACTTTGTGAGAGGATGGATCCCACTGATCCATTCATAGTTTCTTAGATAAAGTGCAGTGGCTGTTTTACTAGCTAAGAACACCAACGTCCATGTTAATGCTCAAAAGCGTTTTCATCATGATCTCAAAAGAAATAGATGAAAAAGCAATAGTATTGAAATCAGATGTTCACTGTTACAGGTTATTTTGTAGTATTAATAGCACTAAGAATTATTGTTTTTAGAAACTATTTCTGAGTCCATCATTTTTGCTTTTTGCTAATCTGTCTTTATATTCCTCTCAAACACAACAGTACAGATCAATCATTCCAGTTAATTTTTTAAGTTTCTTTCAAATTCTGAGACCTCACTCAACAGGAGATGTCTCTTTGTTAAAAACAATTGACTTCAGGCAGAGAAATGGAACATGCCTTTATAACTGTAGGTTTGTCTAAGAGCTTGTTTCTACTGTATTCTCAGGGACCTAGCCAGATTCTGGGAATTGATGGAAGGTAATGAGATCTTTCTACACAGAGATTCCTCTGACTCAAGGGTTTTTCCAGGCAGGATAGTGCTGAATGCAGCTGGAGGCAGAAGAAGGGGAAAGTGAAGCAGTGGCAGTTCTGGGGCACCAGGAATAACTTGAAGCTAAACTGATTGACACTAGTACCCCACTGTCAGCTCTGACTTTATATAGAGAAGACTAAGAAATAAAAAGAATGGACAATAAATGAATGGGAGATAGGAGGTGTGGGGGGGTCACTGGATGTCATTGGAAAAGAGAAATAACTGTGGATGGAGCATATGCTACAGAAGTGAAGAACATTGCAACCAGACAAATACACGAGACAAGCATCTGTTCTGCTTAATCAATAGGAAGGGTCACCGTAAGATCTTCAGTTTACTAAAGTGTCAAACTGATTTGTATTGTCGGCCAAGCCAGTGAATTATTCTTTTCAAATTCTAAAAAGTATATGTTTTTTTTGTTGTTTTCTTTGGTTTTCTTTGGATCTGTCAGAGAAAAAAGTGCAAACTGAGTGCTGCAACTGCCAGTTCAGCTTTTTATATTGGCATACTTTCCTTCAAGATCAAGTTGCTAAACTCAAAGTCACCAATATGCCTCTGTGTTTACTGGAGGACCCAAGCTCATTTCACAGCTTGGCAACTTGATTCTGTGTTTGAGAGAACTCAGTTCTCTTCTGGGAAGAGACCAAGAAATGAAAGAGACCAAGAGCTCTTGGAACCAATGCACCCAAGCTTAAATAAGGGAGCCACAACACATTCTAGTGAGGTCCAGGGATCCAGGCTGCAGGGCCTTCTTCAGAGCATGACAGCCTTACATCCAGATTTGGCTGATGCGGATTTCTAAAAGTCATATACAATATCTGTGTGTTAGTAATAAATTGATTTTTCAACATTTATCTGCTCGTGATATCATGTTTTGAGGTGTTGTTTACATTTTGCAGTTGAGTTTGTTGTGAATTTTCAAGTTGTGAATTTTCAAGTTATGAAACATACCACAACAATGCCATGTGTGGGCACATTGCAAAATTCGGCCTGAAGACTGCAAAGAAGTAACCTGAAGATTTCTAAAATGCTTTGTCTGGGTTCGATACCATCCTCAGTTCTCTCCTCTCTGTTAAACAGACGGTTCTTCCAAAAGCAGTCCTGATCCCTCTCCCTGACTTCCCCACTCCAAGGGATAATTCTCCCAATCCAACTTCCACTGCTGTTCTGTTCCCTTGTCTTACTTCTGGACACTGGTTCTGCCTGTCTTTTTTCTCTGGTTTCCAACTCTATTTTTTAAAAAAAGTATCGCTTTTTTTTTTCTTGCTTTCTGTCCACAGCACATCTAAACAGCATAGAGCCCCTGGCCTCTGTGTGCAGAAAGGCTAGATACACATGCTTCGAGACCTGCTCTTTGTCATAGGTTCACTTTTTCTTCTTAGTATGAACACTGAGGGTGAAGAACAGGTCAGATCTCTGTGCTGGTTTCTGTGATAAGGAGGAACTTCCAGACCTTGCTGTTTCCTTGATTAAGTATAAATCGGGGAAAAACGTGCACAAGAGCAGAGCTGTGGCCTCCATGGCTGTCTGACAGATCTGTAGCCTCTATGGCGGCAGGTTCCACTAATTGTTGCCAGTAATCCCATATTTGTTATAGTATCTGTGGAAGTACTGAACATCTTGGAAGACCAAGTGAAATCTGTTTTCTTGTTAAAGCATAGGCCTTTAAAGGCGCAATGGGAGTTAGCAGTGATCTTAGGTAGTGAGTTAAGCCATCATAAAAATACCTGGGGCAGTATAGGAATGCCCTGATACATTGTTGCTGTGAAATAATTTTTATGAAATAAAATTTCATTTTGATTTACTTTTCAATAGCTTGCATGGAAATCTTTCTGTCATTTTTGGCTTTCAGACTTTTTCACTTAAAGTTTGCATCATAAAGAATGTGTGATATCTACTGGTGAGTGTTACAGCCATCTGAAATCTTGATGCCAATTTCTTCTTTTTACTTAGCTTATTCCAGCAGGTAATAGTGCAACTAAGATTTGGAGGATTTCCAAATTTCACTGTTTGCCCACACCTCCTTTCTGTTTTGCCATCTGATGCAGAAATGTACTCAAAGGCAAAATCTGTGTTGGTTGCAGACATTGCCTTTACAAGAATTGCTATAACCAATGCTAAAGGTTATACATAGATTTTTCTATAGGCTAGCAAAGAGGACTGTGATTATCTGCTTCAATAAATGACCAGATAGTGTCACTTGTAGTTGTGGTATTAAGCTCCTATTTCTGTTTGAGCAAGACTGCGCATCTAGATAGGTATTTCCGCTTAATATAAAGGCTGAAAATTATGGAAGATTGATTCAGTGCTTAATAACTACCTGAGTTTTTAAACATAGATCGTATTATTCGTCTGATTTTTCTCTAAATGATTTCTAACTGTTATGTATTATTGTACCTGCATCTGCCAAATTGCAGAGACTTTTACTCTCAGAACACTTCCCACATGTAAATGATTATGGACCACAATCAAATCACATATATACTTTCTTTTTAATCACTTTCTAAATGTGCGTCTGCAAGACTGCTCTCTGGACCTCATATAATTCTCATGACTTCTCCCTGAATCATTTTCATCAACTGTAAGCTTGGAATGATGGTCTTACTAAAGAATCTGAATCTCTTTGAATCTGAATCTCTGTCTACATAAACTGAGTATCTTCCGGTTTCCAGGAGTTTGTTAATGTCCTAAAACTCCCTGTCTTTTTCCTCTATATGGCATTTAAATATTTATTTTTCTTTTCTTAAGTATAAAGGCTTATCTTGATATACTTTGCTAAAATTTTCCTTCTGATATCTTGCTTTTTTGTTTCCTAGGTAGCAGCAAATTATCACTTCAGATATAGTGACATTTCACCAGGGTTACATATATATAGTATGTCCAGGCATTTGGTGGACGGTTGTTTGGCTTGGAATTTGGGGATGTTCAAGAATCAAGATGGTCACATTGCTCCACAGGAAGCAATGTTAGTGCTAAAATAATTTTAAGCCCTTGTTTCAAGTGTTTGAGTTCCTTTTAAATGTTATCTATTATCAAGATCCAAATTCTAAAAACCACAGAATGTAGACTGTCTTTGGTGACTGTTTTAATGGGAAAGAGATGGATATCTAAACATGTAGACTTGGGAATTAAAAACAAGACCTAGAAAGGCAGCTGTATTAATTTTACATAAAAACTGAAAATTACTTCAGTTTTATTTCTAGTTTCAACTAGCTAATGCTATCAGATGCTACTCTAAAAACCTTACCATAGCACTAGCATACTAAAAGGAGTATAGATTTTAGTAAAAAGATAATTTGTTAGAAAAATTAAGAAATGTCCATCTTCTTTAAGGAGCTATTGGCCTAGCCAAATTTTTTATGACAGTAGGTTGTAGGCTGCAAATGAGACAACTGTAACCATTTTCTTTAGTTTAATCCCTGCTTGCTATTAGTAAGCTATTATGGATATGCATATTTTAAACAATCAAAAGAAGTAGTATATTTTATAAGTTATCTATTAAAAATGTAGAAAACTGTAGAAGCTAGATGACTCTTAGCAGTGAGATGGATAATTAAGGAATAAGTAAGGGAAGTTTGTTTGGTGGATAGAAGACTGTGCAGGACTACACTGGGAAGTTAATTCTTTGTAGCTTGGGAATACGAGGAATCAGACTGGTTTATTAATATATTGATGGAATTTGACATTTTTATTCCATTTTTATGTCTGTCTTTTCTCTCTTGCATGGCTTGATTGTATACATACATCATTGTTACACAACTCTGATGTGGTTTACATAAGAAGAAACTGAAAGTCCCTTCTAATAAAACTTTGACTCTAAACTTGCTGCTCTTGTTTAAGCAGTCTACTTTATGAGTGCTCTTCTTTCAGTTGATTGTGCTCTTGATTCACCTCTTGATTCACCTCATATCTGAATCAGCAGCTGTTAAAAGATTAGAGTGTGTTTTCTGACACCACAGTGACATATTGGCTTAACTGATCCTGATGGTAACTGTACCACTAATTTAATTTTAGGGTCAGTGTAGAGTTTAGGGGTCTTGGGATTCCAGTGCTTCAGTATGTAAATTACTGCATGGTCCTACCTCTCAGAGCTCCAGGAAAAACACTCTGTAAATACTCATAGCCTAGAAGAAGTCAGACCTTTATATTTCCTAGAGACAGTTAAAGGTGTTGAAGTATTTTTATGTCAGATTTGCATTACCTGTGGATACCTATCTGTGTTCCAAGAAAGCAATGTGATTGCATGGTGGTGTTGGCTATGGTTGTTAAGAGCTTCTGGTAATGTGCTTTTGTTCCTGTCTCAGATTCTTTCTGCTTCTTGTCATTAACATGTAAAGTATAGCCCAGGCTGCATTTTGAGTTGACTAAACTTTCCATCGCAGAATTCAGTTAGAAATAGCAGGGCTCAGATATGCATGGTAAGCAAAGTAAAAAGAACACAGTTCTATTTTCTGGGAGTAGAGACAATATTAGACATATGTTTGCTTAGAAGTACATTAAGAGCTAATTGATGAGCTAAATACATTTTATTCCTTGCCTAAAAGATTCTCCATTAGGACATTTAGATTTTTCTTCACAGTCTTCATTAGTTGTTCTCATGTTACTTTATATAATGGTATTTATTAAGGTGAAACAGGACATAACTGTGGGTTAAGAATTAAAACACAACACATCAGGGATTACTGAGTTAAGGTTGAATATTTGCCCAGCCTTGACTACAATAGTTATTTTATATAATCACTGAAATAATGTCTTCTATTATATAATAGAATATTCTTCGTCAAGTATCATAAGTAGTAGAGTAACATTATTTCATACAAATTATTTAGTATGATGTACAATTTATAGAGCATAACACCTAAAAGTCACACAATGAAAGGGGTAACTATGCACAGTACACGTATAGGGCCAAATTTTTAAAGGGGTCTCAATATTCCCTCTTACCTTACATATTCCGTCTATTCCATGCATGTATGATAGGATTGAGATACCTAAATTTTTGACTTCAGTCACTAATTGACCTATCTTAATCCTTTCATATCTGTCCATAAAATAAGAGGCCATCTTTAAAAATTTCACCTAAAGTGATCAATTTTGCCTTCAGATACCTCCATGCAACTTCCATTGAAGTAATTGGAGCTGTGCCTGCATATCTGATGGTGGAACTGGACTCATTGCAATTAAGGTACACATTTACCAACATAATTGGTCCTCTGGAATACTCGCTGGGCCTAGTATGACATTCTGCATATGCGGAATCCCCTCTGCAGTGTGGGAGATTAAAATTACTATGATAACTTTATTTCTTGCCTTAAATTTGTATCTATCTGTAGCAGAACTTTAATGTAATTTGCTGTATTTAATTTTCCTTCCTATTTTAAATAATAAATGTGTAAGTAGGACATGAAAGCAACATGTTTTTCAAAGTGATGTCTTCATATATTTTTTCATACCCAACCAATGCAGATATTCTGTGACTTCCATGAACCCTTTACAGGACGTATGTGTGTGCACAATCATGGTTTGGGCAATATCACACAGTTTAAAATATCCAACTCTGTGTACTGCTTTGTGTATCTGTGTATTTCTGAAGTAAAACAAAACAAAAAGTAAAAAAAGTAAATAAAGAATCCCACAGTTAACTAGCAGCAAAAAACCCATATATAATAATTGTGGTACCTCTTAATCCCCAGTTCAGATCTATACACACATGACAGTATTTATTTTTCGGGTATTCGCAATTTTCTGGGTTTATTTGAATGAAAATTTATTACAAGATTTTTGCTTGTTTGTTTTGCTTTGTTTTGTTTTTTAAGTAGTGTCTTCCTCCTGTCACTGATCTGGGGACCTGGGAAGTTAACAAAACTATTTACAAAATAGATTGTTTATAAAAAGAGACTTTACAAAATTATTGGCTTTTAAAATTAATCTTTTTAGAGAGAGTCGTATAAATCCATGGTTGACCCAAAAGCAGAAAGGTGTTTTTTCAAAGATTTTCTAAATAAATATCAGTTTTGAATTTGTAACCACACACACAAAAAAATCCAATTGAAAGATGCTGCTTTTTGGCATATTATAATATGTAAAAACTGATGAATATAATGAGTGTTCCTGTAATTAGGAATTGTTACTCGATGATGTTTATTTGGGTCAACTTCTAGAAATGCTACAGAGTATCAGTTTTCAAAGTTTAAATTTTACGGGAATTGCTTTGCATTTATAGGGCTACCGAGTTTAAGAATGGTAGAATATCTCTGAGTTAATCACAAAGGTTAACTTATTTTAAGAAAGCTTTTCATAAGAGAACTCTAAAAGTATTGAACAGTAAAGGAATACATGAGGAAGTGCTTTCACAAATGGATAGGGGTTTTTATACACATCTTTCCTCTATTTAACATCTTCTTGTGACAAACACAGCCAGGATTAATTTTCATAATAATTGCCATAATGTGTTCAAAGTTAAGATGTTCCTTACAGCACTGCAGCTTCTTGAGAGTTTAGGATTAGATATTTTAAAGCAAAACTGAAAATATAGGAATATAAAAATTCTTTGAAATATGAATGAATATTATAGATCAAAGAAGTATTTTTAAAGGACTTCTGTAAACAAAGTTACTAGAAACTTTCTTCAATGTATTGTATTTTTTACTCTCTATTTAAAAGGAGAACTTATTCCTCTTTAAAATACTTTTTAGCATTGGTAAGCAGTCATGTGTTAAGATAGCAGTAGGAGCTATTTATTTCAAATGAAAATTTTTGTACGTTTAATATATTAACCCTTAGAATGCTACTGTGATGCTTTCTACAGTTAAGCAGATGCATGGTTAGATGACTATGGATTTATGTTCCCTGTATCCAGAAGGCTTAACAGGTTTATAATTCAGGCTGTCTCCTAAATTCTTTTGCTCTTTTTATATCTATTGCACCAGCTTGATTATGTATAGAAAATTGGGATGTCTGTCCATTTTCAGGTAAAGACTGTTGGCAGTGGAAGTGGTTGATTCTTGACATTAATGTTCCTGTGTTCTGTGTTTACACCCTGCTTGTACTACATGTTCGTACATTTCTTTGTTTTGTTGAGATGGAAATAAGTTAAAAGTGGTGCTAAACCATTTGTTTTTCAAAAGTTTTTTTACTCTTTTTAATTGATTTTCATTATGTGTTTTTGCAGCAAGCTTAGTAGTGGAGGAGCGCACGAGACAGATGAAAATGAAAGTGCACCGGTATAATCAGACGTCAGGGTCTGGTTCTAGTCAAGAACATGAGCGTGAGCAATATACCAAGGTAAAGTTAGTAGTATGATGATATTTTGTTTTGACAATTGAAGAGAGAAACATGCTTCTTTAAAATAATGCATAACCCTCAAGAATACTATGCATAAAGCCTGACAGAAATATCTATGAGCAATAGCTTTTCAAAATCCTTTTTAGCCCCACCTGAAGTGAAGTAGACTTAGTTTTGGATGTCATCTAAAATGAATTTGCAAGATGCAAAACACACCAAAAAATCTCAGGGAAGCAAAATTGACCAATGGCGGTTAAACAAAGTCAGGTTGTGAGTATTTTATGATTTCCATGGTCTGTAAATCCCTGGAGGCTGGAAAAGTGGACCATGGCAGTATTGCTGTGTGCTGGTCCTACTCTTTTATTCTTCTCCAGGTCTTCACTATGGCCTCACACACAGAGACCTGGACAGATCTGATCTCATGGGGCTCTTCTTATATTCGTATAGTATTTTTGCATTCAAATATTGTCACAGATAAAATATTTCCTTTCTGGAAAAACATATTAATTACTGTGAGTTTTATTCACCTTTTCTAATGAAAATATTAATTTCCTCTAATAATTAAGTGTGTATGTGAAACTGCGTTAATGAAGTTACGTAAGGAATGAAGTTATATGAAGTGTTTGTTCTATAAAATGCTCAAATGGTTTTCCACAGCTGTATATCTTTAAAACTGTATGGGCTCCTGAGCAATTTGTTGAAAATGTCTCATTGGTCTGCAACCCCTCTTACAAGTGAGGGACTAGAGCTCCATCTTTTGTGTAGCTGCTAAAGTCATTTTGCCCTTAGCAAAAAGATAAGTGAGGCCCAGCTGTGGGGGTTCACTTTCAGAGTTAGGGAGGGAAGATGTTTAGTTACACGTTATGTTTCCTGCACAGAGATGCATCACTGTGCGCAGTCTAAATAACAGGCAAAGACAAGAGCAGCCCTTGCTCTGCTCTGCTAGCAGCATGGGCTTTCACTGCCCTTGAGAATTCCAGGATAGCGGTGTATTTACAATAAGGGACCACGGGATGGCAGTATAAAAGTAAAAGTGTACTGTAAGAAACAGAAGGACACTCTAACAACAGTATGCCTTAAAAATAAGGGGTTCAGAATAGCAGTTGTTGAGAGAAAATTACAGCTTTGATCAATTTTGCCTGTGATGACTTACTTAGAAGCCATATTTGCAAAACTTCCTCTGTATATATAAGAACTCAAGAATCATTGCCTCACAGAAAGCACCACAGTGTCCTGCTCTTGCAGCTAAAGAACAGAAAGCTCATGGCACTCACTGCAATAGCACCGTCTGACTTGCTGTCCCTTTAGTATCACTTCTCCACCCTTTGCAGAATTGACACGTTTCTGTAGGAACAAATTAAAGTAATACATACCGAAATGTGTTGAGCAGTTTGAAAAATCACAGAGTCACTTAGGAATGGATAAATAAGGAATCTGATAACAGCTAATATCTAACAGATTTGAAAAGCTTGATCAAGATCTTATTACAGTTAAATGTGGAGGGAATTTTAGTAAGGATGTTTCTGTTTTGAAACCACCCCACTGTGAGCAGGGACCTTAATAAAACAGTTCTCAGAGGGAAGAGGGATAAGGGTAACCGTGCTTTAGACCCTCAGTTGCCAAACAGCCAGGTATCAGTGCTATAAAAATAAAAATGGGATGGAAATTTCCAGGGAGTTTGCTAGTGAGAGGGGCAATGTGCGATATGTGGACTTTGGCCGGGATGAACAAAAATCAACCTCAGTTCATGCTTAAAAAACATTTCTGGTTTGAATTAGCCATGTTCACACATTCAAGAGTTCATAAACTATATTTTACATTATGAAACCTATTTTTAATTCTCACTCTCTTTAATATTTTTGTAAGCATGATTTCTGCCCATCAATGAATTTTTAAAACTAGGAGTATTGTGAATCTGATACATGATAAATTCGTTGCTAAAAAACATTATATTCAATGCTACTAAATTCCTTTATCCTTCAGTGCCTAGAGCTTCCTAGGACTGTCTTTATGTTCTAAGTATACATGGAAATGAAATCCAACTTGGAATCTCAGCATCTCATAATAGATGGAAAGAGCTCTGTTGAAGTATTGTTGATTCCGATATTTTTAAAAATGTATGACCACAACATTAAGGAAGCAAATTCTCTGTGCTGAGGAAAACACATCTGGGTACCTGGTATTCTGACAGATGTGTGCTGCTTTCCATGATAAAATAGTTATAAGGAAAATGATTACTTGAAAATCATTTAAATACTAACTTTTCAGGTGTTTTGTACATGTTAATGTTATAGTCCTTACTCCAAGTGAAGTTCTTGGGTTTTGCATTATTTTTTGCCTGGATAGAATAGTCCAGTCTATAATAAATTTTGTATCTATATAAATAGCTCTATTTTCGTCTATCTATAATAAATTTAAAGACATAAGAACAAATTAGCACATACACTCTACAGTATTCATTGGTGTAACTATTTGCTTCACATCGCTATGTTAATTATATTTTTAAACCAGTGCTACTGTCTTTCTTTGCCTTCAGCAAATGCTGAAAACATCAATAGACATGACAGACTCAGATTAGGCAGTTCTGAGGTAAATCTAATAAACCTTATCAGGAGATGAAGTAAAACTAATGTGTCTGACTTTTAAGGACTTCTTGGACTATGCCTAATTTCTGGTCCCAAAATCTGTGGAAAATCTTTGAAAGATGCAGAAACAAGACTTACTTTGACTGAAAAAGGCAAACTATGTAGTGGTTTAATAGACATTTTAGCATAGTGAAAAAGTAATAGTAGCTATTAAGAAGTTGTTCATCATAGTTGGAAGCATAGGTTGTCACTTTTAAACAGAAACACTCCCTTTCTCCAGTAGCATTGTTTGCCTAGTGCTTCAGAAAAGACGTGGTCATATGCATTTGAGAAATGATGCGGTTCTGTATATAAAGAAAACACTCCTTTTGCATCTCATACCAGTCATCTGACGTGGAGGTGATATGCATGTTTTTCAAGCATACACTGTGCAGATTAGTGTGTAAGTATTTCCAAATAGTTCTGAGTTGTTTGTCAGTGAGCAGATTGGGAACAGGTAACTGTCCCTGCCCTGGAGCATTTGAATAGGTCTTGATGGCTGTTCTACTTGTAAATGCTTTGAGGTCCTACAGACCTCACATACTTCCATCCTTTTCAGTGGAAGAACCGTAGTTCATATCGATCCATAATTGATATGAAAATTGAATTCTAATATTCTAAAAAGCTGAATTTAAAACGTACCATGTGGATTTTGTTAAAGTGTTTAAAGAAGTACTTTAAGTAACTTTCTCTGCTCCTTTCTTACATGTAGGTAAGGCTGTAGTGAATAGTATCCCTATCATATGTTTGTGCAATTTCTGTGTCTGCAAGAATCAAAACACTTCAGTAGCATAATTTTGGATTTGCACATATCTTAGTGGAAGAGTAGCCAGCAGGACTATTGAAGTGATATCATGCACTCACCACTGCTGAGGCTGCACCTCAAATACTGTGTTCAGCTTTGGGCCCCTCACTACAAGAAGGACATGGAGGTACTGGAGCGTGTCCAAAGACAGGCAACAAAGCTGGTGAAGGGGCTGGAGCACAGACCTTATGTGGAGCGGCTGAGGGAGCTGGGGTTATTTAGTCTGGAGAAGAGGAGGCTCAGGGGAGACCTTATCGCTCTCTACAGCTACCTGAAAGGAGATGGTAGTGAGGAGATGGTTGGCCTCCTCTCCAGAATAACTACTGATAGAGGAAAGGGCCACAAGTTGTGCCAAGGGAGGTTCAGGTTAGATATTAGGAAAACTTTCTACACGAAAGGAGTGGTGAGGCATTTGAACAGGCTGCCCAGGGATGTGGTAGAGTTACCATCCCTGGAAGTGTTCAAGAAACATGTGGATGAGACACTTACGGACATGGTTTAACAGGTGCAGTTTTGAGAGGCTTATGGTTGGACTCGATGATCTCAAAGGTCTTTTCCAACCAGCTTACAGCTTTCCTGTGGTTTGAATTGCTTATTTTTACTGTTGGCCATTAGACATCTGAAAGTTGATTGGTATTCACACACAGTACTTGAACTGAGTTACAGGCCTGGGAAGAGGTGCCTAAAAGCACTTACTCTTACTTACTGTTCTCTGAAGCATTATGTGAACTACTCCTAAAACACAGACTCCTATGCTGCCAGAGGTCAGAGATAGGGAACCTGGGAGCAACAGAGTGCTGACTGTAGAGTGATGGATCCATGCAGCCTTCAGAGGAACTCTGTGCCACTTTGTCACTGAAAAATTGTAAAACTCAAGGTGTTTCAGAGATGTTTGGGCAAAATTCCTTTTTGGAGTAAGTAACATGCCTCAAAAGATAGGTATGATCTCAAGTCTTGTTTAAGTCCCGCTGTTCACCCTTAATGTTTCTGGTCTGGATTTATTTTTCCTCATTTCAAGCATGTAATGAGACATGCTCTTCTTTCAGATGATAGTCACCTGATGGTTTTTCTGTGTTCAAAAATGGGGATACTCCTTCAGCATTCAAAGATCTGAACCATTGTATCCTCCATGAGAGGGAAATACAAAGAGAGAGAGAGAATAGAGAGAAAAATACAAAGGTATAAATGCTTATTAGAATGTAACAAAATTACAGGAGTTTCTTAAATGACTTTTAAAATGTCCTTTATAATCAGTAAAATTCTAACTAGTCAATGAAGATGAATATCTGTAACAGTATCCATGATGCACAGTCTTTTTGTTTGCATCCGTGCTCTTTCCATTGACGTTAACATGTCTGGAGTTCATCATACCTCTTTTTTCTCCTTCTGCTGACGTAAAGAAGAGTAAGAGGCTCCATAGGTGGCAAAGCGAATGGAAGAACTGCATTTCAGATGTTTATATTTGAGATGATCATACTGAAAAAAAATGTCTGTCTTTGTAATACAGAAGCAGACAGACATTGCAGACAGTTTGGGCTTTTCAAGCTAGCTACTATTAATGTTCAAAAAACAGAACTTTACTAATTGGTATCAAAGCCACTATGAACCTTAGGAGCTCCCCTCATGTGATAAATAGTACACTTTGAAATGGAAATGCTGCATAAGCTTTAACTGTTTTAGACATTGAGATGAGAGAGAAGAGATTGCTCTGATAATTCACTTAATCTTGAAGATTAATCTTGAAGTTTTTTTTGTTGTTGTTATATTTAAGAGTAACAGGATAGGGAAAACTGTTACAAATATATTAATAATTTTAAAACATGTGATGTTATGCTGAAGAGCAGTAGGATTCCAGATGAGTGGCACTACATATTACCTCTGATCCCAATTGGAAACATTCAGGCATGACTTTAATGCTCATACGCAATATGTGCATTAGATCTCTTTTAGACTAGAACACTTTTCCTCTGAATTTTCAGTTTGGGTGTATTGCAACAGTAATTTCCTCTTCGGTCTCTATTTGAAGCAAAAAAAAAAAGTAAGCTTCAAAATTGATTTCATTTTGTTCATCTGTTTTTTTCTCCCCAGACCATTAATTAGTTGAAATTTCAGTAAGGAAAATAAAATAAACTTTCAAAGACATTTTAAAAATATATTTGATTATCAGTAGTGAAAATTATTTGTATGAATTTTCTGCCAAGAAAAGTTCACTAGGAGCAGAACAAACTAGCTTCCCCAGTTGACTTTGAAATCTCAAGTAGTCTGTACTCTTCCATGTAAGAATCTGTAAGAAAGAAAGGGAGAAAGATACAGAAAGAATCTTTTCTTCCTCTCTCTGTCTTTCTGTAAGTCTCTTGCAGTAAGGAATTTGGGGAGCAGTTGGTATCATTAGTCAGCATCACCACTTTCCATGTTAATCCCAGTTTCTCTGAAAGGAAAGGGTCTGTCTCTCTCTCTCTCTCTCTCTCTCTCTCTGTCTTTCTTCCTCTCTCTCCCTCTCTCTCTTTTGCAGGAATCAGAGTCCTGGAATAGGGTATAAAGGGATAGTAAAAGCTCAAGTGTTTCATGCTAATTTCAGGAAAGGGCGTCTCAATGTTTTGTACGGAAGCTCTGTGGTTGGAATGGCAAGGCAAGAAGTAGTTTGTGCTTCATCTTTTAACTCACTGTAAAATACTCCATGTACCAATGCCTAAAGCCTGTCTATTAAGTCAGTCTGATATATAGAGCAACTCGATTTTGTTGTAGACTGTGTTGGGCTAGGTGGGAAAACAGCTACATGGCTCAATTCAGACAGGGAATACCTGGGGTCAAGACCCCATTGCAACAAAGGGTTGCATAGTTAATATTAAAGAGGTGTTTTATGAGACTGACTTCCCCAACAGTCGTTGACACGCAAGCTGAGACCTAAGCCTTCTCTCTTGCAGGCAAGTGTCTTAACCAGTAAGCTGGTCAACCATACTTAATACTGCTTTTCGTCTCTCTTACCCATCCTTCCCAGCCCATATAAGCGGATCATGAAAAATGTAGCTGTCAAAGCAAGAGTGAACCTCCCCGTCCCCAGGTGGCATATGCACTGTGTTCAACTTCTGTTATTCTCGTGTTTGAATACTGAATGTAAAACAAAAGGCCAAATTCAAATTTGTCATGGGAGGAAGACCAACAGCCTGGATGTTCCTCATTGCTAAGAAGAAGTAAAACTTAGAGACAGAGGAAGAAAATAGATTCTTCTCATCACGGTTGCTCATTGATCGAGTGAATAGCTCAGATTATGTCAGTTTTCAGAACTTGCACATCATTTCTGCCCAGAGACCACATCAATATTCTGTTTTTCTTCCAGATTTACTGTATGCTTTTTCAAACTAAGATCCAACCTCTACTGAAGGGGAGGCAAGTTGCACAGGTGATACATTGTCACATAACAATGTGACATATACAGACTCATTAAGGCCACAATGAGAATGTAAACTTTCTGGTGAGGAAGAGAAATAAATAGATGTCCTGGTGATGAAGAGGGGAAGTGGGATTGTCTACAGCAAATGCAAATAAGGCATGAAGACATTTGTGGAACATTTACTCTCTTACAATGGATAACAAGCCATGTATTTCAGGCAGACTTCATTTTTATATTTTAAGTATTTTAAAACTTTAGAAAGATTATTTCTAGGTGTAGTTTAAATAAATATATAAAGTAACATTCCTATTTCATTGAAATCAACAGAAGTTTTTCCATATAAATACAGTCAAGATTTCCTTTGCAGATGGATCGAGTTCTGTTTAAAGTAATGAAAAGCTAGAACATTCTTATCTGTAGAGCCTTTTTGTATTTTTAAATGACTCATTTTAGGGAAGTTCTAAGGAGTCCTTTAGGAATTATATAGGAATTTTGTATAAAATAGCAATACTGGCTCAAGAGTGGTGCCCCCTAGCATAGACTTGAAAACGGTAAGACCATTTGGTTTGGCTGCCCAGAGAGGTTGTGGAGTCTCCTTCTCTGGAGATCTTCCAAACCCGCTTGGACGCAGTCCTGTGCCACGTGCTCTAGGTGACCCTGCGTGTGCAGGGGGGTTGGACTAGATGACCTCTAGAGATCCCTTCCAACCTTAAGCATTCTATGATTCTATGATTCAAGCTTTTGAGCACGTGCATTTAACCATAAAACTAAGTCACTTTTATAACTTTTACTGTTGCTTAATTTTTTTAAGTGTACATTTTAGAAGGAGAATGTGGTATCTACAGAAAATAAAAAGTTTCATTGTTATGAAATGGAACTAATAAGAATTGATGTGTTTCATATTTTAGTTTTGAAGAGAGGCATTTTGTAGTCTAGAAGAGGGCAACCAGTGAAAATATTTAAACGAAACTATGCGCTATTTCCAAAAGATGGTCAGGATAAACATGTCAGCATGCTTTCACCTTGATCCCATTGTAATTTATATTCAGATAAGTCACACAAAGTCACTTGGAAATAGAATCTTCAAATAAATCCTTACTGGAGTTGAGACTGTTTTTTAATATTGGCATAACTCTGTGTCATTGTTAAATCACATTTCTGCTGCATATGTTTCCATATCAATACCTCTTAGACATTTTATTTGAGCACCAAGGCATTGTGATGTTCTCTAATTATGTTGCTGAATTTCACTTAGTATTTCAGGTTGAAAATCTACCTTTAGTAAGCCAGAGTTGTTTTTCTCTCAACAGTTTTTATTCAGTCAGCCTATGCAACCCCCTCACATGTTATTTCCACGCCACTCGCTAGGAGTTTCCACACTCTTCAGATCAACCCCCAGAGGATTTTATTTATAAGTTGGTCTGTGTTCTGAATCTTGGCTATACAGGAGTTCTGAGTAATAGTGAAGCATGTGCCAAGAAGATAAACTTTTCATAAGCTTCTTTGATTTTTTTTCGTAAGGAATTCCATATGTAAAATCAGTCCTTAGCATCCTCTTTGTTTCCTCCCCTTCCTTACTCCAATTAGTGTCTTCATCTTGCTTTTGGTGGTCTAAAAACAGTTCCCAAGTGTCTTACGGAGACCTGTGTGCGAGCTGCTGAAAAGCCCTGGACAAAGGAAGATAAACTTGGCTTGAGGACAGATGCTCTGCTACATTCATTTGCACAAACTTTAGATCATGTTTGCAAGGCTTTTAAAGTTAAGTCAGCCCGCAAACCGGTGCTAAGTTCAGTTGGTCCCATTCATAAACTGTCACACGTTTGTGTAATTAAGAAATAAACTTTTATGACTTGCAGTTTTACAGAGCACAGATCTGGAAAATGGACTCCCTAGAGTCATCATGTCAAAAACTGCCTATCCTAGCACTTGTTAATAGTTTTCATATAAGATGCACTGGAAAAATATACCACCATTTAAATCACTTTTCAGCCATAGGCTCCTTTCTCTTAATGATAGTGAATATTATTTTTGGGAAGCTGATTATGATTGAAGATTTAGGTAAGTGTGACATAACTAGGGTTGAAGTTCCTTTTTGTATATATTCTTACTGATATTGTAGGTAGTATCACTGTGTGAGTTGCAGGTGATAAAGGGTGTGTTGTTGCAATCATTTTTAGCCAAGCAATGCTTCTGCTGTAGGGCTAGTAATAATCCACTCGGATCACCTGCTCCTGCTGCTGGTCTTCTGTTAGTTCTCATATAAACCCAACTTGATCAGGAAATTATCTGAATTATCTCCCTGAAAACACACTATTTTGCTGATTTAGCTTTCTGACAGACTAATTCTCTAGTATGATGATATATAGAGATATCTGTAAGTAGAAAATGTACTCCTTTTCTGATGGAACTTAGTTATTGCAATCAACCCTAAATGACAACCTCATATAGCATTACATTTCCTCCAGACCCATATACAGTTCTCTTGTTCTAAACTGACTCTGTGCAGATATTTAATAATATATTTTTAATATTTTAAAAAATGGGAAAAACGTGTATAGTCAACTAGATAGTAAGTGCATACCTGAGAAGATATGCATGCATAAATTTTTCATTATTACAATTACAATATACTAAAGAACCAGTAACCTAATTAAAGTACCATAGTTTATTTCAGATATCTCTTTTATTCCATTAATACCATTTTTCATTTATTCCGTAAACAAAAAGAAATTAATACAAGTGTTTCTCTGAATTTCATGATTTTTTTTTTTGGATCTAAAAGCAGTTAGAGAGATTTGTCATACTTAGGTCATTTATTGTCTCAGTATATGCATTATATCATGATAAGACTCCTCACCCTTTCTTTTCTTGATCTTTAGTATAATATACAAACAGATCAGTACAGAAGTTGTGATAACGTCTCTGCCAAATCATCAGATAGTGATGTCAGTGATGTGTCAGCCATTTCCCGAACCAGCAGTGCCTCACGCCTCAGCAGCACAAGTTTTATGTCAGAGCAATCTGAACGCCCTCGGGGCAGGATCAGGTGAGTTCTCAATGCAGCTTGAATTGTATCACACGTCTTTCTCTTGCTCAAGTGCCAAAATGCAACTAGGAATGATGGAAACTAGATGACCACAGCAACATAAGAGTTTATGAAATATATCTGTGTATATATAATCTTTTCTTGGTGATATAAAATTGCAGTACATTTTTGCATTTGTTATTCTAAAGCAGTAAGCAAAATTGAGCAGATTAATACATTTATGGCAAGTGGAAGTTGAACATGTATCTTCTGATCATTAGCCATAAATCAGTGTAAACTAACGCCAGGAAAGCATTGGAGCAGAAATGTTTGATCTCTGAAGAATCTTCTGTCATAAGACAACATTGTTTTTCTTTCTGTCTGTGTATTTATCTGCCTACCTACACACATGAGAAATCAGTAGCATTGAAACCAATATTTATCTAGTAATCTTTAATATCTGTGCTTCAAAAGTAGTTCAAGTAGTTAATATTATCAATAGTCAAATATCTCTTCCTTCCTTGATAATAATATACTTCTCAGTTTAGTGCTACTGGAAGTAATTGGATGCAGTCCTGTCTTCATTTAGGTCAATGACAAAACGCTGACCAGTTAGAATAGATGTAGAATTGGGTTAGTAGCGACATGATCACGTTTACTAGAGTCTGATCTCTCACAAATTTTACTTCAACTGTCTTTTGCAAGACAGATGATGAATTAAGTACTCCAGGAAATTATCCCTACAAAGAAAATAGGTATAAAAGATATCATTTAGTACTTCAGAACATTTCTAAACTGATTTGGCAACAGAGAAGGTCAGCTGCAAGGTACAGTCTACTCCCTGCCAGGAAAGGGGACTCAGAAACTGGCCTCTATATATGAACTAATCCCACCTCATTTTATTGTTAAAGAAAGTTCACAAATATATTCAAAATCTCTTTCAAATAAGGGAAATCATAACCTGAGACTTGCATTAATAATGTAATCTATAATCCAGCAGAAAATGGTGGTGGAACTGTAAATGCATTTAAAATTATTTGTGCATTTAAAGTTATTTTAAATCATGTGTTTAGTTGCTACATTTCACTGGAGCATAACTTCTCGTGCTTGTCTCTTAGAGAAGACTTCAGTCATTCCAAAACACCTATACTTTTGAGACACATTTTTTTCAACTCGTGCTGTTGCAGTGTCTTTGAAAGGTTAAACAAAATACTTTTTTTTTTCTCCAGAAATATGTCTCTGTTGAGAAGATTTTGAGAGAAAGATTGATTAGGTTAAAAATGTCTGATTACAAGTATCAGAGGTAGTATCACAAGTATCACAACCACAGGAGAATCAATAACCTCATCCTAAGCTGGAAAGGGGGAAAACCTAGAGTCAAATCATTGTTCTGATTTAGTCTCTTGCAAAGAGATCACCTTTGTTCACCTGAGAACAGGTGAACAAGTATGAGGAAGAAATGAACAGTTCTTGAAAGTCAGTCATAATTTTTTTTTCTTCTAAGCTAGATTAGTTTATTCTTTTTCTAAAATCCCATTAAAATCAGTGGAAGATGCTGTGGTAGGCTGTCTTTGCAGATAGCCCACTTCAGTGATCTTCATGATCTTAAATCTTTGCTCCATTTCATTTTAAAGATCATGAAAATTGTAGGGGTAGACTGGATTTAATCACTTTCATAAATTTATCACACTGAGCAAACCCAGAGCCATGACAACTATGTGAATGTAAAGTTTAAACACGAAAAATTACTTAAACTTTCATGACCCTACTTTTGTATTTTTTGGAAATGAGAGCTATGAAGAACCTAGTAGGCATGTAAAAACTTAAAGCAAATGGCCCAGTTTGAGAACCTTCCCTTAACTCATTCAAATAGTATCCTTTGGTGCCCTCTAGTCAAGAGAAAAATACACAAATTCAGAACACCCATTGCATTATCCTCTCTCTACTTTGAGTATAGAAGAATGAAGCCTAGAGAAAATCACCACCACTAAGTTAAATGTGTGTCTGGAGAGTCATTACTCCAGCCATCAGATTAGTAAACTGAAATAAAACTACTCCTTTTTTCTCATAAAGTGAACTAAAAAAAAAAAAAAGGATCGAAGGATCGCTTACTCATATAAAGAGTTATGGTGTCAATTTCTAAACATGAACTGGCTGATTTTAAGCATACTTTAAGCTTTAGTTAGTGTAACCTGATTATTCCTCAGATTAATGCATCTATGAAAAGGGATATAAATTAAGATTCTAGGAATATGAAAGAATAACACTGTCTTGTTTAGGCTGTCATTAAGAAAACAGCAACAGTTTTCTTATAATTCTGTATAAGATGTCATGATTCCTGGATGTCAGAAGGGTGGCAATTGCTCATCATAATGAGTGCAGTTTATATTTGCTGACTTCATTGCCAGTTCTCCCAGCATAAATAGCTTCCTGACCTTTCCTCCCAAATCCTAGGGGAGGAAATAGTCCTTAAAAAGGTAGAGCTCTCTCCCTTTCAATTTTCATATTCTTTCATTTCAGGCAAAATAGAAGTATTGCCCTGTATTTATGAACAGCTATTTACTTTCGCAATAAATAAAAGTTTTAAAACCTGGAACTGCATCTTTACCTTATGTCTTTAAAGCACAAGAGTTAACTGTAAATGTATAACAATTTGCATTTGTTCAATAATATTTAGTTTTTATGTATAACTCCTACAGTAATGTTACATTCAAATTACATTTTGTATTTCGTAATACACATAATTTACAGCACACAGTGCTGTCTATATGATAAAAATAAAACAAATTGAAACAACACAAAACAATACAAAAATACTGTGCATCTTATTTGAATAGTTAGATAACCTGCTATCCATTTGTTGGTTCAAATGTCAAATACCAAGTTTGGTCATATTAGGAAACTTGAGTAGGCTGAACAAGTTAGTAATACTAGGAGAATGAAAGCAAATATTCCCTTTCCTTTGATAAAACACAAAACTGTGGCTAAACCTTTTAAGGCATGAGGTTAATCTCATTCCCATGGTGTATTTGTAATTAAATTATCTGTCAGAGAACTGTGACATAACATGCATGGCAAATACCATTAGTTCTTCTTCAGTCTGAAGATTTTGTTGATTAGCGAATCTAATAGGTTGCAAGAGGGAATTATGGTTGAGCAAGTTCTACATATAAGTATATAAAATAGCTTCTTCATTTCTAACTTAATTAGCATTTTCAGGTGGATGTTTTAACAAACAGCTATGTATGGGGAAATTTGTCTAGTTATGAAGTACTGGAAATTTTGCTTAACTAACTGTTGTGCTTTCTAGGGGAAGTCCAGGCAAATATAAGATGATTTGGGAATATTGACTTAAATCAGAACCAGATTTCTGTATTTGGCTTGCTGTAGTATTTGGAGTCAGTGTATGTTTCATCACTAAAGCCATGGTTATCAGTCCTTCATTATGGAATTTTGCTTTCATCAATCATAGTCTTTAATAATTCATAGTACAGTCAAGGCATGCTTGGTGCCTGTGTATATGCCGCAGGCTCTCCTCTGTATGACTCAGGAACATTTCTCACATCATAAGTGAAGCAGAAAGGATTTTTTCAAGGTTTAATATAAATAAGATAATTGATAATTAAGAATTCTTGTTAAGTGGGTGATGATTAATCAGCAGCATGTAGCCTTGGTCAGAGAGAGACTTGATCACTTCAATTAAAATGATGCCTGTTCTCATTGCATCATTTTTCTTTAGGAGACTGTTTATGCAAAGATATGCTTGAACATGGACTTCTCAGTGATGTCAAGTAGGCAACTGTCATTTATGGTAGAGACTTGCAGGAGTGGAAACCTAAGGTTTCTCCACTTGGAAGGAAGCCTGTTGGCTTCCTTAAGATGTTTTGCTTAAATCTGATTAAACAAGATCTGCCAACTGTGTGAAAGACTAGATAAATAGTTTTAAGGTAAACTTCTCTCAGTGTTATCAGAGTTTGGAACAAATTATCCCTGTATTAGGACTGTCACCATTTGTTATCAGAGTTTGGAACAAACTGAATTCTTTCATTCTTTATCCCTGTATTAGGACTGTCACCATTATTCTTCATTTTACATTTGAAAGCATCTTTTCAGGAAAGATTACGTTTGCTATCTTAGCCAATGTGTGATACATAATATGTGTCGTATTTTGATCTGGTGGTACATGCACTGCTTAAATTGAATGCTTAAATTTAATAATATATTAAAGGGGTTTATTAAGAAAACAGAATAATGCAGTAAGTTGTAACAGTGGCTTTCAGTCCTAATTAATTTCATGTATAATGCCGTGCTATTGAATGGCTTGTATCACAAAGCTGTGCATGCTTCTTGGGATTCAGGTATGTTCCCAGTATATTACTGAAGGGAAAATAACTCTTTTGATTCGTGCTGTGAGACTTTTTGTGACAAACTTGTTTATCAGTTTCCAGAACAGTCTGTGCAGCTTACATCTAGCTGTTATTCCTTTAGGACACTTGTACATCACAGCTTTAAACCAGGAATGATGAGGGAGGGCGATGGGCACTCCAGAGAGAACAGGCAAAGAGTGCAGAGTGATTTGGACAGGAGGTGCCTCATAATCAACAAAAGAGGAGTTCCCCAAGAGAAAGCACAGAAATAACAAAGTGCTGAGAGTGCAGTGTGATGGAGGAAGCTCTCAGACCTTTCCTGGGACATGAGCAGAGCTAGATAGCGCTCTAAAGTTCTAATGCACACAGCACGGGGTACAAACAGGAGGAATTAGAGGTCTATGTGCAGTTGCAGGGCTACACTTTCATCAGGATCACAGAGACACAGTGATTACGGATCATAGATTTATGGATAGCTCTCCAAACTGATGTGTTGTGATGGATAGAAGCACAGGTCAGGACAGCGAGGGGAGCTACTCTTCATATGAGAGCTCTGCACCTAGGGAGGTGTGATGAGCCAGCAAAGATCTTCTAGGTCAGCATCAGAGTGCAAGCCAATGTGGGCACATTGTTGTGGCCTGTGATCTGGAAGGT